ACCCACCGAAAAAAAAAAAAAAAAAAAATTACTATACTACTTTTAGCCCATTCCAAAAAAAAAAATTATACTATTTTTAGCCCATTCCAAAAAAAAAATTTGTAATATTAGCCCACTCCAAAATTAACTTAATCCAAAATTAGCTCACCCCATTCAGAAATCCTGAATCTACCCTTGCCGGCTCCACCCTTAGGCGACTAAGCAGTCCCCTAGGACCCTAGCCAATAGAAAGGCGTCAATTTTATTTATTTATTTATTTATCTTTTTAAAAATTTTATTCCCTTCCTATTAGGAAACTCTAGCCAATAGAGAGGACCACATTTATATTGCATGCACTCAATTAATGACAGCCTAGCAATGTGGTCCTTTCAACATTATGAATAATAACCCACATGTTAATTAAGTGTTAGGAGGTGAGATTATCAATAATTGAATATAATAAACAATATATTGTGTGTGTGGATATATATATTTTCTTATAAATAAATTTCACAAATCAACTTGAAGTCTTGAACGCTGAATTTAGAAAGAGATGTGAGTTGCAGTTCTCAAAGCAAACTCTTGGGATAGAAGTACTAATTTTTAAGGCATTAAAAAAAGTGATGTGTTAAAATGTTGGGTTTGAAAATTACTTGTTTATAAATAATTTGCTCTCTTAATTTATTTATTTAAACATTTATTTTATTATTTATTATTTTATTAATTTTGGGTCAAGGAGAGGATTGGGCTAGACTATATATTTTCCCATGATGGGGGGGGGGGGTTTCAAAAGCAATAACATCTCCTTGATTGATTGAGAATGGATAAGAAAGGCGGGGGGGGGGGGGGGGGGGGGATTGATTGAGAATGGATAAGAGGGTCGTGGATTGACGTGAAGGGTAGGGGTGGCTATATTTTTGGAAGCGAATATGAAGTATATGGATACAAGTTATGTCTTGAAATGAAAAATAATTTCGAATCCACTTTATCTATGAACAAGGAAGTTAACTTCACTAATGTAGAGATTATATATATAGATCAACTATTTCTTTATTAGTGTGGCAAATGGTAACTGTTGGTGTAACACTTGTGCTTCTCAAATTGTTTATGTAATTTTTAAGTTTATCCATTTCACAAAATTAATTCCTCATCACTCCAATCTAATTTCCTTCCAGAAATGTGTGTTCTCCTTTTTCAGTTTATCGTAACAAAATTGTCTTTAGACCCAATTCTGTTTGCTTGTCTGGACTAATAACAATAGCCCAATAAATGACACAGTAAAAATGACAGCAACTTAGGTTGATTTGTGACGACTAATTTTGTGCTACCAAAAATATATAGGTCCCATATAAACTACTTTAGCTCCAATTTCAGCTTTGACACATCGATTCTATTCTTCCAAACGCAAACCTATATAAATGTGTTAGTATATATACAGGCTGCAATACTCAATTCTGTATATATTGACATGTGTCCATTTGAAGGGCATTAAAGTAATTTTTGTGGATACATATGGGATTGACATGTACATTATGGTTTTAGAATAGATTGAATCTTTAAATGAAAATGAAAGTTTTAAATTAAACTTATTCAAATAATTTGTTTTTTTTTTTTTTCCTAGTTTCTGCTACGGCATGGGGCGACTAAAGATTGGTTAGAGAACATTTTTTCTTTGCATCCCTAGGCACGTGATCAAACAAATTTTTTCTTTACGGACACAGGTTGGCGACGATTAAACAAATTTTTTCTTAAAGTTTGTAGAGCATTCATGAATACCAAAAATTGTTTAGGGTCAAAACAAATACGACAATAAAAACTAACTCTATAAAGGAATGAGGTGAGTTGACTCATTTTAGTCGTAACCACTGTATAAGATGATTCCCACTTTGAGACCAAGACAAACCAGCGATTGAAACTAACATTCGTTAAAGGAGAATTAGAGCCAATCTAATTCTTAATACTTCTACTACACTCTCCATACCATATGTTTTGAGCATATATACTAAATTCGTACATAAAATGCTATTCTCTGTGTCTCCAAATAGGGGTTCATGGTGAAGTGTAAAGTAAACCCGGAAAAGGACCATACATGGTGATTAAATCAGAATCATTAATGATTGCATTGAATCAAGATATCCATAAAACTTTATTGAGTGGATCAGGTGCGCAAGTGTAATCAGCGGCAAGATTGTAGACCGTCAAATTCAGTATGAATCAGGTACAAATTGTGAATATTAAAATGCTATACACACGAGTGTTGTACTACACAAGATTCGGATTCCAAACTTCTGCCTAAATGTGTATCAACCCATCTCATGAGCAGAGAAGTTTGATCATAGGATAATTTTTTATTCTGGTCGGGTAGTTTTTTATGGTATTTAGTAATAGGATTGGTAGATGTTGCATTCTTAATTTAATTGCATAAAAAAATACCATACACAAACTGTACTGAGTTCATCTTTAATAGTTATTCCAGTAAACCAACGCTTTGCATCTAAAGTTTTTGTGATTAGATAGGTCATGTATTTAGTGAAGATCATCAAACCCTTTATTCTTTCATTCTTTCAGTGTCAAAATACGCAAGATGCTCTCATTCTTTCATTCTTTCGGTGTCAAAATGCGCAAGATGCTCTCATTCTTTCGGTGTCAAAATGCGCAAGATGATCTCATTCTCCACCCTAGGTAAGTTGGAAGGTTTGAGAATCCATACTTTATAAGTTGGATATATATTCACAGGAGAAGAGAGTCAAACAACTTCGACTTCTTTATGAGATAACTAGGGAAGGACTGACGTCATCTTGATATTATTAATATTTTTAAGATGATGATAACATCAGGTTCTTTTCACATAAATTGAATCGGATTAGTTCAACTTTTGAACTCCATATCATTATTTATCTAAAAACACTCATTTTGTGTATACTTTCACTATGAATTCTTTTCAAGACCATCAATTTTTTTATTTTACTCTTTTTTAAACCAGAGGCAAACACAAATTGCTTGATGGAAACAAGTTCAAGTGTCCAAAAAAAAACTATAAATGTGACTTGTCAATATTCAAAAATAACATACATAATGTAGTAATTAATTTCTCGTTATTTTTCACCTATGCTATTTTCTTCTTCAATTTCTTTATATATAAGTTCTGCACGCACAAGATATATAAATCAAAATCGCCTTATACGGAATCCACATGAAATAAATATATTATAACTTTTTTTTTTTTTTTTTGGGGTAAAGAAACTAAATTGATCGTAGTATCTCGGGTACCGAGAATGTAATAACCCAATAATTAGTTGTTGCTTTCGCAAATTTGAGAGCAAAACATGTTCTCATTTTTAAATTATCATAAGAAATTGCCCAAGAATCCATAATATACCCAATAGTGTTTGTTGTCTTAACTTGGAAGATTATAGTGACAGAATTATTGTGAACTTTTTACAAAGTTTGGTGTTGATAGCAAAATGTGCTGACCCTGACCCTGACCCTTATCAACAACTACTTTAACCGGCTTGTATAAAATGGAGAATTAGATCCTCTCATCAGTTCTTTTAGCTTTCACCACTTTAATTTTTTGAGGGCATTCATTTTTATCCCTCAAAAGATATTCCATGTGTCTCCATATTGAAATAAATAAAAATATAAAATAAAATCAGGGCAAACCTAGTACACGAGACTCTTGTTGTTGTAAGATCTACAAAAAGTCGGATGTACGCAGTCTTACTTTCACATATGGAGAGATAGTTTCCGTGTTTTGAATCTGCTACCTCTAAGTGACAGCAACCACATTGAGATTCGAGTTGCAAGATTAAAAAAAAAAATGGATGTGAAGAATATAAAGATGATTAGTGAAAATGGTCCCATCAATTTAATTATTAATTTTATTAGAACAAATTATTTGATAGCAAAGTTTTTATGGTCACACCAACAGTGGCCAATAATAAAAAGAAAAAGAGTGCAATCGATTGAGCTGATTTGGGTTCATGTCAAATAGCCCAAGTCAAATTCAATCATGAAGAAATTGGGCTTGAAATCGACATAAACCTAACTAGGCTCTGACTATTACCGACATTTCGTTAGTTTTTTTGGGTTCTGTCAAGTTAGCCCAAGTAAAATTAAATGATTTTGGGCTTCAAACCGACATAAACCTAACTAGGCTCTGACCTAACCCTAGCTCAACCAATTATAACTAATCACTTATAAATAATTTGTTTTGATCCGCACAAATAGCAATAGCCCATTGATCTCATACATATCTAGTGCAAGTTCATCTAAATTTATTATAACAATTAATTTTGAATTTTGGGAATTGAAAGAATAGTGTATAAATTAAAAAACATCAAAGTTCATTTGATTAAGTTTTATTTTTTGTCGTTATCCTTTCAGGGACTTCAATAATACAGTTTAATTTTACCTTTAAAATTTAATCGCATATGTAAAAGTGATCAAGCACTTGATCAGATCCTACTGTCATAACACGCTCAGCGACAGAATTTTATGTGAATTTATTCATGTCATTTGGCTATCAATAATTGTTGCGATTGAGAGTATCGAATTAGCAATTGAATTTGGAATTGATTGAAAGAAATTTAATAAAAATGTTGAACTAAATTTTTGTTAGGATGGCATCCATCAATCCGTGAAACCGATCTATTCTACCGATATGTTCTAATAGGTGGATTAGTTTTTTAACCTCATGTTAGGTTACAGATTGATAAATAAAGTCCCATACATAAGTGAATTGGGGTCTTAAAGGCCATAATTAAAAATAATAATATTGGACTATTTGGAAAAAAAATCTCATAATTAAAAAATAATAATAATATTAGGCTATTTAGAAAAAGTTCAACCAATCCGATTCGTGGAAAGGCCTAATCCGATCCATAAAAAGGCTTAATCCGATTCAATCTGAAGCAACAGATTGAATTGGATTCAATTTTCGATGTGGTCACCCCAATTTTCCGCCAAGATACAAGATTTAAGTTAATGTTGCACTTTACTCCGTTAACAAGACATCATGGTACAAAAAACACATCAAACAATATTTCAAATTGCAGTTTGGACAAACTCAGGTGTCTCTATTCATACACAATTACAAATTGTGGTTCAGATAGATTTACAACAGTAACAGAACAACAGGACAGAACTACCCATCTGTTTGAAATTCCTCTATCTTCATAAGTACAGGAGCACATAAATAATGTCTGAATAGCAAGTAAAAGCATCCTGGCAAGTTTTACCTTGTCTCCATCACCATTTTTTACATATTACCAACAATATTAATTTCTACAATTTATTATATGTTCCGGACTAGGCCAATTCAGCCTGTCTCTCCCACCTAAGATCCTCGCAGAATTCTGTAAGTGCAGCTCGAGGGTTGCCATTTGATATGGACAAGTAATATTGAGCAGTTCCATCATCGACTTGCATGCTTCTCTTCAAGGACTCGATTACCCTTTTCTTGCCATGGTCAGAAGTCGCCTTATTCAACAACAAATGGACCTTCCGGTCAGAGGCACCCTCCAGATAGAGTACCGCCACTTCCCTTTTTGCACAGTTATCCAGCTCTATGTAGCATGTGCCATTGATTAGAAGGTCTGGCTTGCTCATAGGGATCAATAACCTCTCCCTTGAATATATGCCATGGTCACTCATCATATTGTTCAGGCGTTTTATGTCCGTAACCTACAAATACAGGGAAATGAATGTACTCAATATCAATGCATTTGCTGTCATATTAAATTTACTTTTAGGAAGGAAAAATTGAAGTGGACGAAGAAAAGCAGTAAAGGAAATTTGTATTGATAACGAGGGGAAACAAACATTGCCAAATAAAATCAGCTAGATGTTGACAGCAGAATCTTGTAATCACTCTGTGAACCAACCGATTGGCTAAGTCTGGGTCCTGGAGTGATCATCATTAATATTTTTCAAAACTTGTCTCACACAAGGACCTTTCGACATTCAGTCCATGCGAGGATAAAAGATAGCCAGCTAGCATGAGCAGTATTCTACTATGACAATCACCACATGAACAGTATTCTACTACCGAGCGTTCTCTATTTTTCGCCCCTGCATATTACCTACAATATCAAGCATCAATCCACTATAATGTGGCTATGAATTGTTTATTTGTCTTTTTCAGCATGTTGAAAACTTCATCACAAACTTTCCCCGTGGAACTACTGTCTTAACATCATCCACACTTTATTTCTATAGAATAATCATTTTTGCACCAAAGTCTACGGTTGAAGAATTCAGCCCAACTAGCATTGTTCATTTCTATATTTTCACCATAGTGCTTTTTCTTTTCTTTTCTTTTTTTTCCTTGCTCCCTGTACATCACACACAATATCATGCAACCACCAACTGTAATGTGACTAGATATTGTGTATTAATTTCTTTTTGGATATTTCTAAAGCTTCATCATAAACTTTTCCAATTGAACTACTACATTAACACTACCCACCCTTTATTCCACAATCTGAACATCAATGTCTTCAATTAAGCACTCAAGACTTGACCTCAACATGACCAAGAAACCAACCCTTCTATACCCTGCATGAACAATGATTGAATATCTCTTCTACATTAGAAATCCCTTCTATATGCATGAACAATGATTGAATATCTCTTCTACATTAGAAATCCCTTCTATATGCATGAACAATGATTGAATATCTCTCCTACATAAGAAATTACTAATTCTTAGTTTCTCCAAACTTCATGAGCATCAAAGACAGCTTTGCACTTAAAGTTATTGACTATTTGACTTTATACATGTTAACAGTAACATAGTCCAAATGATAAAAAACAACTCTTCAAGGATTTAATTATCCATTCTCCTTCCTTTCCCACATACTGTAGTTTTTTTTTTATCATCCCACGGCAATTTTTCATATTAAATATTTTCTACATGATAGTTCAAGGTATTTGAAGTCACAAGTATGCACCACATCCTTCTGGTCACTTTAGTCCTAGTTATAAAAATACTTTTTGAATCAGGCTTTGATCTAACAATTCATTTCGTGCTTCTAGGTTAGCATACAATTTTGATGACATAATCTTGGCAATGTTAATTTACTTCCACAAAAGTCACAAACTCGCATTTGGAAATATCCGGTAGATATAAGAATCTTCTTACAGCAATCTTTACAGAAAAATAAGTATTCATACACCAGCTAGACTCGCTCTCATTCCCATCTTCACCCTAATAGGGTCAAATGTAAGAGATCGTTTAACCTAGATGCCAATCTGCAAGCTCAATTATATTAACTTGTCCCTTTCTTGACCACTCATGCCTCTCAATCAATAATTTTAAAAATCCTACAGCACCAATGGAAACTATTGACTTGTTGCAGAAGGGAAAATAACCAGCAAGCATTATTTTTGAAGCTACCAAATTTTTTTAATTTGTAATCGATTGCATGAAAGATGCAAGTTCCACATAATGAGGTAATCTGCGGGTGTGGGTATTCACTTCATGCAATCCAAGTACACAACTTTTCATACATACATCTAAGTCCAGTGAAGTCCCTGTATATTTATCACATAATTCATCTATGCATGGTGAGAGAAAAATTGATTGGCAACCACCATCAAGAATTACATACTCAAGGTCACTGTACTGTGCTACTGAAAAAAAGAATCAAGAAGATACATATTCTCACCATTTTTTAAGGTTACTCAATGGTATTCTCCAATTTCCATCCATGCCAATTTTCACCTAGGAAGCACGGACACTCCATCAAAGGTGTCATGGCAGTGTTGGACACAGTTCGACACATGTCTGACAGGGCTAGAAAGTGTCCACATTTTTAAATGATTATTATTTTTTTAGACAGACAAGGCATGGGATATGGCCCGGATACGCCAAGGACACGGCTGGACATGTTTCAGGATACGACAGGTTCAATTTGTAAATATTTTTTTTTAAACCACGGGGCTCAACTGGAATTTGAAAATGTAATAAGAATGTAAACTATTAAAGTAGGATTAAAAGACCAAAAACAACATAAGATATTCATATCTTCTGTTTGTTCTTTTACATGAAACTTTCTTCTCACTTCTAATATCAAAATGTAAGCCAAATCAGTGTGTGTGTGTGTGTGTGTGTGTGTGAGAGAGAGAGAGAGAGAGAGAGAGAGAGAGAGAGAGAAGAAAAATAAGAAGAAAAAAAGGATAAACAAAAGAATAGAATAAAAGTGGAGACATCCCCTATAATGTCTATGGTATTAAAGAAAATTTGAAAAAAGTTAATTTTTTATGTATAATAACATTTTTTTATTTTATAAGTATGATTGTATTAGGTGTTCAAATGGGGAAAGCATCCCAAGTAAGCTAATAAATTTATTTATTTATTGGAGGTATTCTACTATTCTTGCCACGCCCATGTCCTATTTTTTTTAGATTGTCGTATCACTGTGTCCCGTATCCCATATCCGTGCTTCCTAGATTTTCACTCAGTCCACTTCATCTTAATCCAAAATCGTGTCTAAATGGATTAAAGAGAACAAGTAAACTAACATTTCAACGTTACATACTAAAAGGACCAACAATTAGACACCTCAATCACCACCAACAATGTGTTCCATTTGGTTGTTGAAAAATCACAGTGAAAAAGAAAATTAGATATTAGAATTTTCATTATGAAGGACAGCAGAATTCTAAGATGAAACCAAGATGCAAGCTTTGGGTCTGTTTGATTCAGCAATCGGAACATAGTATAGAAGAATTCTAAGAACAAAACGGTTTTTAGATAACTACAAAAACTGTCTCTGAAATTAGTCCTTTTTTCTCTTAAACTTGTCAAACAGACGAATTTTCAAGCTGCATAGAACAAAATAATGTTCTTAGAAAATGAATCAAGCAAGCCCTTTCGATTTTCTAGTCATCCATTGTTCATAACACTTTCTATCTTTGAATCATAACTAAAAATTTGCGTACAAATGTGCATAACACACACTCACACAAACAAACATAGAGACAGTAATGCAAACATCAACTTTCCATTCATCCATTGTCCATAAAATTTTGAAAGCTTTAAACCAAACTCATACAAATAACTAAAATTTGCCTATCAATACACACATTAAATAAAAATACGTATTCATATAGAGAGAGTATATCACCTGAACGGAGTATTTCACGGCGAGACTAGCAACAGAATCTCCACGCACCAATCGATGCGAAATCGCGAACCGTCCAAGACTATTATCTCTCCAGAAGCTCCCCGAGCTCGGACTCCCGATCACCTCCTTCAACTTCCAAGGCGCCTTGAAGGCTCTCGTCTGCATCTCTCGATCAGACGCCAATGAGTTCCACAATCTGCACACGCACGCCGCTCGAGAGAGATCGACGATCGGAAGCTTCTCGAAGATGGTCCGGAGGATGTCTCGGCAAATCAGGGCAGGGAAGTTGGAGTTCATCGGCGATATGGAAGTGTCGCCATCGACGGTGGAGGACGGGTCTAGGGTTACGGCGGAGAAGCCAAGGACTAGGGTTTGGGGGTGAAGAGGTTGGAGGATATCCTCGTCTTCGTCCCCACAACATCCCATTTTTTTCTGTGCGGTCTGAGATAGTTTAGAGATAGAAATGTAGGGAGGTGGTGGACCGGTGTGTCGCATGCGTGCGTATTTTAGTGCATCGCTCTGGGGATGAGGGAAAAGTACGCTATGACTGGTTGGTGGTGGACTAACTTGCACCTAATTCCAAAAAAAAAAAAAAAAAAAAAAAAGTTATGTAACTGTTAATCCATCCTATTTTGATTCAAATGGGTTGAAAATTTAATTTAATAAATTGTTTAGTTAACAAATTAAATATAAATTATGATCAATTTGATTCAATAATAATTTAATCTTATCAAATATTATATATAATAATAATGAATATATATTTTTAGTGTGCTTTTCATAAAATAATTAATAAAAAATATTGTTGACATAATAATTTGTCATGTATAGAATTGAAAATTTTACTTATTTTAAATTTTTTATTTTTAAAATTATTTCTTTCCTTATTAATTTTTCTAACTTTATTGTTTTTTCTTTTACATAAGAGTCAAATATTTGATCTTTATTCTCTTTTCTTGCTCATATATTTTTTTTTATCATCTCTCTAATTCTTTCACTTCTTTTAATTCATATTTTGAAATTGTTAACAAAAATAACAAATCTTACGATAACTTGCAAATCAAATGTGAATTGAACATATAAATAGGTAATTCATTATCAAATCTGATTACGTATTTATAAGAAGTTAAAAGCAAATATACAACGGGATTCAAAATCTCAATTTATTATTGTTATTATTATTAAAGAAGGGAAATCGTGCCATTGGTTAGAAGAACAACTATTTATCGTTTTCATGTATTATCATATGCTACAAAATAATCTCAAAATGAAAATACCTAAAAGGAAAATTATATCTAAGACTTACTTTTTACTCTTTTTCTTTATTTATTTTTAATAAAACTATAAATCCGGCTTTGTAATAAAAAGTCTCATATTACTTCTAAATTTCCCAAACTTCTAATTTTACCATTTCAAATTATAATTTTATATTTTCAATTTATTTGAATATTTTTGCTCAAATCTAATTTTATCTTTAAAATATTTGGTTTATTCTCTAAAATGGAGTAGTGATTTTTTTTTTCCTTTGAGAATAATTTTAAAAAATTCCTAAAATTTTTAGAAAGACTAATTAATTTATAGTTAAAATTTATATATTGGAAAAGAAAATTTGATAATAAATATAAATATATTTGAGTAGTTAAAAAAAATCAGCATCATCATCATCTTTGCCTTATTTTCATATGAATGCAATCTAGGCACAAGAATTTTATCTCGATTCCTTTCTATATGATTTGTTTTTAAAAAACTATTTTCTTAAAGTAGAAAAATAATATATTAAAAAAAAACGCAAATCATATTTTATACAAAAGTTATTATTGTGAATGATTAATTCTATTTCAAGTAAAATAAATTGAAGTCATATAGTATTATAAAACATATTTGAAATTTTGTTTCAAAGGTAGGATTTAATAATCGTTAAAAGTGAAATATATACATACTAAGGAGCAAGGACTATGGACTATACCCATCCAAAAATAAAACAAGAGGATTAAAGGGCAAAACTTATTGCAGGAGGCTCTCATCATTGCATAATTTGAAAGGAAAAGATTGGGTGAACGCTATTTTTGACAGGTTAGTTTGTACTATCTCCATCCCATATTAAATGTTTAAATCGAAAATTTTAAGTCATAATTTTTGTGAGTAAAAAAAAACTAAAATGATGACTTATGTACCATATAACAAAAAAGTACAGATTTTTTATTTTTTTAAATTAACAAGAACTAAAGATTAATGGTTATGGAGTATAATTTAATAATATAAATGGATGATCAAGGTTTACGTCTCTACAAAATTTGATGAGTTGTGCAAGTCCTTTGTCAAGCATAAATAATTACTAATATATATATATATATATATATATATATATTTATAAAACAAAATTAAATTTTTTTCTCTCTATTCAAGATTCTATAATGTTAAAATGTACTGAGTCCAACCAACTCTAATTAGAAAAATGGAAGAAGTTTCTTTTAGAATCTTTCTTCTTTATAATTTACAAAAAGGATAAGAAATACAGGACGAAGTTTAGTATATTGTTCGTAATACAATAATCAGACATCAAAACGATAAATTATTGTTAGCTCCGTCAAGGCAGAGAATTTACTGTCTTACGCGGCTCATGGATGAAGCTGGGCCCACACTGATCTCAAAAGGCCAAATTCCACGCACACTCCGTCGTCTTGCTTCACGCTGTCACCGACCGACAAGGCGACAAAGGCCCATAAACACTGACCCTCACAGAGTCATGTATAGGGAGAGAGTGCAGAGAGAAGTAATGTAGAGAGAGAGAATTTCTCATCTCTGGCTTCCGCAACCCATTGTGTATGGTCTAGGGTTTTCTAGGCTCAGTTCGCCCAGCAATGGCGGAGATAGGGAAGACGAAACTCGATTCCGGATGGTTAGCAGCGAGATCCACCGAGGTCGACCTCACCGGCGTTCAGCTCACCACCACTCAACCTCCCTCCGGCCCGAATTCGCCTTGGATGGAGGCTGTTGTCCCCGGAACGTAATTATCATATCATTCCATTTCTTCTATATATATATATATATGTTTTGTATTGATCCGTTAATTGAAATTGAATTTTGAAATGGTATTGTTCTTGTTTTTTTGTTCTGTTAATGAATGCGCGTGAATTGATAGTTCGCCTACTTGCCTTTGCTCACAAATTCAACAATTAAATATGATCATTGGTTTGGTTCTAAATTTCGTGTAGGAAGGACATAGAGCTAAGGGCAATGAAAAAAGTTCAATTGGATCTGAAGGTAGTACTTAAAAAAAAAATGTAGAAGATAAAAAGGCAAAAGAGACTCTCTTTTTCTCTTAATAGACACTCATACATCAAATGCAAAAGGTGAACTAAGTGATCTATATATGTGTACATGTCAATATCTGACAGACACTAATTAAAGGATGTGTAGATAATAAATGCAGGTTTAATTGTTTACATTTTGATTCAGATATCAATTCAAATTTAGTTTGGAATTCAATTAACGTCCATATGTGGGTTAATTGCTGGTTTCGGATGTATATTTATTTTATTTTATTAGGATTAGAATATTATAGAGTTCGCGTTATTTATCTTCTTCCCTTCAGGAATTAGGGTTGAAAAATCCAAACTCACTCTTGTAAGAAGCATTACCTTTGAATTGTAAAACTATGATATTTTTTGTATGATATTTTGAAGAGTACAAATAAGTGGAATGAATTTCACCAGAACCTAATTATAGCTCAAGAGCATGATTGGAGCTCTTCATGTGAACATGTTATATCAATAAAAACTGTAACCAAAAACTGCATCAACACATTATGCAAATACCTTGGTCCTGTGGTTGGTTGCACAAGGAATTGGTGGAAAAGAATGAAAAAAAAAAATGTTGTTTAGATTTTAAAGAGATTAAAATCACATTGTATAAGGCAAGGACTTATAGTAGGCCAGTTGCACGGACCGCAATTGTCAAATCGAGAGACAATTTGTGAATTGGTATGAGACATCCCTTTCTATGAATTGCAAACTGAACAGCATCATGAACTGTGAGATATACTGACAATTTTAAAAATAGAAAGGTATATGTATACAATCAATGATATATTGAAAACAATAGGACAATATTGTATATCCTTTTCAGTGACATGATCTTGTCATCTAATGTTTAAGGGGCTTACAGTATTCACTATCTTACTTTCATTTATTTAATTATTTATTATTTTTTTTTTGGGGTGGGGAGGACTTATCTAAAATTGCATTGATGATGTTCTTAACATTGTCTTTTTTATTCTTCAAGAAGATGACTCTAATAACAAAAAAAGAAGGGAGATATATGTTGTTATGATATTTAAGTATTAGATAATTTCATCGTCTTAGGGGACATATGGTTCTAAATTAGATTAAAAACTGTCACGAGTATAAAAAATCTCAAGTAATTTGAATAGCTGATTTCTACTTAAGATTTTATTGGCGAGAAAGAATTTTGAAAAAAACAAAAAAAGAAGAAATAAGGGTTTTGATTTTTAATTCTATAGCGTGAAAGATCAAATTATTTATTTCATTAAGAGTCTAAAGATAGTCAGTAAACAGAAAAGAAAGCCAACTATGGAAGGACATTTTGTAAGACTTTAAAACTGTAAAAGTCTATACACCATAACAAATTTTAAAATCGCTTGAGTTATGATCCTTTGATCACATATATCATGTATGTATTCGTTATGTAACATCTACCATTCTGTATGTGAAAACTGAAAGGACAAAATAGTAGCTTATGCTTGTCTTTTCCTAGTTATTTGTTTACTTATTTAGGCTAACGATGATTTGATTGACAGCGTTTTGGCAACTCTTGTAAAAAACAAACTCGTGCCAGATCCTTTCTACGGGTTGGAAAATGAGTCGATCATAGATATTGCTGATTCAGGAAGAGAGTACTACACATTTTGGTTTTTCACAACTTTTCGGTGTAAGCTGGTATGCAATACTCTAGAACAATAGTTTATGTGCTTGAATACATGTGCTTACTCATGGTTTTTACTTTCAATATTGTTGGTTTTAAGTTTATGCATTCTTGATTAATTACAATTTGAAATATTTATATGCCGGTATATATGTGGACATCTGAACATCTTCTCGTTCCTTTTATTTTCTAGTGATGCTTTGAACTTACTACATTTTGTGGCAGTGTTTGATAACTGAATAAATAGGTAAATGGGAGGTTAAATAGTCTAAGTGATGGATAAGTGGCATTTTCTCTTCTTACTTTTTATTTTTTTGAAAAGCTAGTTTTTGTAGGTAATGTATCTACTACATTTTCTTTCTGAAGACAAGTGAAATTCTTCTTGTGACTATATAGTTAACGACTTTATTCCACTCATCCTCTTGCCAGATAAATCCATTCTCTTTCACAATACTTTCTTTTGTTCCTAGTCTGTCTCTAATGCTTCATTCGGTAGGAAGGAAGAAAATTGGATGGAAGGAAGAGAAGAATGGATGGATAAGACATCTCTAGGGAAGAGATTGCGTTCTTCCCTCTTTTTGATCGGTTGGATGAAAAAGGAGAAGAAGCTGGCAACTTACATTGTACGGTAGGAGAGAAGGGGAGTGAGAGTTTTAAATTGTTTTTACCGTTATACCCATTACTTACTTTGTTTACGGGGTTTATCTAATATTTATGAAGCATGGTATTGTAATTTAAAACTTCAATAATAGCCCCACTTATCTTCCCTCCTCTCTTCCGTCCATATTTGGAGGGATGGAAATTTGTGAAGGAGGCGACTCATCCATCCTATTATCCTCTCTTTCTTTATCTCCTCTTTACCGAATGAAGAAAGCTTGTTACTTCATTCCTATCTTCTCTCCACCACTCTTCCTTCCTTCCTACCGAACGAGGCATAAGCGACTCGCCTTCTATCCACAACACCAGTTCTTCAAAATCTTGCCTGAGTAATCAAAACTTGCTCCTCCTTCTCATCATGTTTATTTCATCATGATCTCACTCGCATTCTGCTTCAGCCCTACGAAGCTCATTCGTATGGAACCCCAAAATGTGGGATGGTCAGGAAGCATCAAGCTAATGAAAGGGACGAGGCAGAATGAGAATATAAAAATGAGTGAGCATCACAATGATAGATTTAGATATTAGCAGCAGCACCATTATTGGCTGAGGCGAGAGAAAGATGATCGAAATGTTTTGATCATGTGGAATTGGAGATGTATGTTTAAGTTGAAGGTGCTACAAGAACAAAAATGACGATAAAGATGATGTGGATCAAAGTTGTGAAAGAAAATGCAGTGGCCTATGATTGAACATATCTTTGGTTAGTGGGATGAGAAACTCACATTTATATAGCTGACCCAAGTAGCTACGATAAGCCTTTGTTTAGTTGTTTTAATTGAGGAAGCCCCAATTATCACAATAGATAGGCTGATTCAGATGAACAGTCTATGCACTATGATTGAGATTTTTCAACATTTGCTTTTTCATGGCATCCAAATCACTAATTGAAAAAGTTATTATTTTAATGCCTTTGAACTTTCAATATTTTATACTCATTATACTATCTACTGTGTTCTATATATTCATAGATAGATGATGTTTAATTATGAGTAATTTCCATGGCATCCAAATCACTAATTGAAAATGTATCTTTTAATGCCTTTGAACTTTCAATATTTTGTACTCCGTATACTATCTACTGTGTTCTATATACTCATAGATAGATGATGTTTAATTATAAATAATTATATTTCTATCGCTGATATGGAATCTAGATTTGTCTCTTGAGGCCCTTGTCTGCAATGGCTTATTTGAAACTTACACTAACATATGCTTGTGTCCGAAGGAGATAATAAAGACCTTGTTTTTCTGTCATTCTAGCACATGATTGAGTGTTTCTTTCTGGTGGTGAACAATTTATGTTCTTTTGACTGGACTGATGTCATAATTATTTCCGTGTTCATGCTCATACTTAAGGTTACTCCTTGTGAGGTATAGGATCTTAGTTTAGCTAAGAACAGAGGTAGATCTGCTAAAAAAAACAAGGTAGGGTAGATGCTATGAATATGTTTTGGAAGGGTGAAAGTTAAATTTTCAATCTGCAAGTTTTGTTACTAAGAAATAAATGGTTTACAAAGCTTATTGTGCTTTATGGAAAATATACATTACACAATTTTAGCATTGATATGCATTTGAATGAGAGAATAAAAGAAGAGGATCATTGCGATTGAGGACGATTGTCTCCATTTTTGCGCGCCTGTCCTCTGTATTTACAGTTCTTGTTTCTTTCTATTTCTTCCTTTCCTTTTCATTTTAGCTCATTTATTTTGTTTAGTTTATAGCATTGTTCTTGGTATTTTTGTTTTACTGTTACTATATTTTCAATATTTCTGTTGTGTTAACTGCTGCTACTAGTACTATCCTCTTTGTCGTTGTTGTTCTCGTTCTTGTCTGTAAATGACTTCTAGAACTTTCTTGAACTTCTTTCAGTCAGGTAATCAGCACGTGGATCTAAATTTCCGGGCAATTAATTACTCTGCGGAGGTCTATTTGAATGGGCACAAAAAGATCCTGCCAAAGGGGATGTTTCGGAGACATTCTCTTGACATCACAGACATTCTGAATCCTGATGGTGAGAATTTGCTTGCTGTTCTCATTCACCCTCCTGATCATCCTGGGACGATTCCTCCTGAAGGGGGTCAAGGTGGTGATCATGAGGTATTTAGCTATTTCCCTGGAACCCAATGGTTAAGTTGTTTTTTTTTCCTTCCCCTGTGCATGTCCATGATTAGTTTCTGTTGCTTACGTAGCGGCTTTCCTGATAGTAAACTAATTGAATCTCATGCGAGTAATATGATGATGTCTAAGAAATCAGAATCTAAAAAGACATGATATTAAAATGTCACAAAATAAAAATCATTTACCGGTTTAATTGAGGATCTGATGTAGGTATTTATAGTACAAGATTAAAAACTAAAGCAGAAAAAAAAAACTTGCTTAGAAAAGAGTAAATATTTTAAGGGGCCATTGCTTGTGTGCATTGGTAAAATGACTCGGGATGCCAAGTGTGAGAAACGGTTCAAATCCTGAAAGCAGTCACCTTGTACAAATTATAACCTGTACAAGTAATGCCAAGGTTGGGTTTTGTGATACCCCTCGATTCTAGAGCCACGGGTGATCAAGTCCGAGCACAGATCCAAGGGATATCAAACAATTAATATTTAAACAAGCATTGGAATACAAGATGAATTAAAAATAAATAGATAAGCTGAAAGGAAAACTAAATAATAAATTCTTATTTAAAAATCCTCAAATAAATAATGATTAAAATCCCATAATAAAATCCTCCAATCTTCTGATACCAGTAATTAATTAAACTACAACTCGGGAATCCATACTGTGGACCCCTAATAATATCCTAACTGAAATAACTGAATCGAAATAAAAATAATAAGTTACTAATGAAGAAGAGTCCTACGTAGAGTCGGAAGAATGAATGGCTGTCTCTGCTCGGCACGAACAATCTCTAAGACTGGAATTGACGAACACCTGAAAAATAATGGTGGGTCAGGCCCACATACAAGTTCTAATCTATTACATCCCAAACAGAGACCCGATACACGTACACATCCTAATTAATTCAGCAATAACTAAATAGTCCATATATAGATATATATACACACTAAAGGAACCTCACTAGACTATAGAGTTGTCTCAACCTGAATAGTAGGCAACATGCAAAACGCACATATAGTGGGCATGAGTACCTAGACCTACCAGGGTACACAACCACACTATATCTAGTTACACATCCCTGGCAATATACGCACCCTAACCACTGATCCTGAGACTCAAGCTCATATCATGGCATATAATTCTATATGTAAAATCCATCATATCCAACCATCCAAATAAACTATCCAATTATTATTTCAATAATATGTCATCCAACTATTCCGTTGACCTGACACGAATAAGTAGGACTTAACACTGTGGTTAATCCGTTCCCTTATTAAAAATAGGTAGGACTTAACTCTTAAGTTAATCCGTCCCTAATATGCCCCCATCCCATAATGGTGCATTAATCCATATCACAACCAAATAAAAGTTTCCAATTCAAGGATAATGTAAATAATATTTACATTTAATAATCCAAATAAATATGATATAAATCTTATATACATCCTTTGCATTTACTTAAGCAAAAATATCAATTCTAATTAGCATGCATTTAATTTACATCACAACAAATTAACATGCATCTCGACTAAATTGTACATCTCCATGTTCTGATTAAATTAATTTAAATCTAAACAATTGATTAAAATAATTTAATCCAACAATATTTAATTAATTTATCCTTTTAAAATTAATTAAATTCCATACATAGCATGTAAACTTAAATCATGCATTCCAATTCAAGGATAATGTACTTAAATTAAATAGATATTTAATTCAGATCCATCATTCAAAAATAATAAATACTAATTTAACATTCTAATATTAATCAAAATAACATTTAAAAAAAATATTTAATGCATAACTAAGTATTATTATTATTATTATTATTATTTTTTCATGTACAAGATTTATTTCTAACCCATATAGCATATCAGATTGTAATTGTTGCTTGTTTCCTCCTCGTGCAGCGTGTGAACCTTATGAAAACAATGAAACTTCAATTTAAAGAAAACAGCAAACTGATACATGATTCATATCACTTTGTAATGCTTTGTTTTCTTTCCCCTCGTGTGGCGTGTAGTCTTATGAAACAATGAGATTTAAATTACAATGAAACAAAACTGATATACCACATGTTTCCTTCCTCGTTCGGCGTGCGTACCTTATGATGAGTTACCAATTTTGATTTTTCTATCTATCACACACAGACACACACACAGACTGATACATACGAACATCATGTGAACAAAAATTTAAACACTACATAAACACATAATGGAAACCATAACTCAAACATATGTATCGATTTGTCAATATTAAAATTCATTACAAACCTATTATTAAAACACATGAACTGAAATTTTCAAATAGATCCATGTAATTAGATTCAATTAATTTATTTAAGAACATAGAATTAATCTAGCATGCATAGGGTACGAATCAAAGGAGAAGAGAAAGATTAAAACTTGCTTTCAGGGATTAGATAAAACCCTAGCCTCCTTCTTCCTTTTCTCTTCCTTCCTCTTCCTTCTTTCTCTCTCTAAAATATAGTACGTAATATATTTCTAACCTCTTTCACAACCCTATAATTATATATTTATAGGCAAATAAAAATAACCCTAATCCTTTTTCTAATCCAAGCCAAACTAATAATAAAAACAAAATAAAATCTAAATACCAAAAAGGTAACTAAAATATATGGTACGTATAATCTATGTGTAATCCTTTTTATATGTAATATATAAATATATATGACTTTCCTTATATATATATATATATATATATATATATATTTATTTATTTATTAAATATACATATACATGGGTAATTGTCCGTCCCCATTAAACCCCTTATCCAAGTAGTCCATGGAGCCCAATTGGTTGGTCCATTACTACTATTCATATCCAATTCCTTAAAAATATGAAAATAAAAATAAAATAAAAGAATTAAATTCCTAAATAAATACACACCATCACACAATTTCATTTAAACAATTAAATCAATTAACACATTTAATAAATAATTAAATCAATTAAACAAGTAAACAATTAGCCAAGAAATCAACTAAATAATTAAATGCAATTAAAATAATTTTTAAAAAATACCGAGACTATCCTTTTAAAATCAGGGGTATTACAGGTTTGTATTGAGAGTCGAGACCGCTCGTCCTAGCACTCTCGGTTAATAGGGAGGGCACTCAGTAATCATCCTTTTTTGTAGGAAGAGAGTATATATTTTGTTCTTATAAAAGATAATGTAACAAACATAGCTCGTCAAAATAAAAATATATCAATTTATGTGAGATACCATGAAAAAGTATGAAAAATGATCGCAAAAAATGTATTACCAGTGTTTGATTGGTACTGAGACAGAGAAGCCTTTTTTTGTTGTATTGTTTCTGTAGATTTAACCCATTGATATCTCAATATAATATTTATTGATTTAGATTTCTTCTACAGTGGGCTGCTTTATAGAAAGTTTTGTTATTTGGGAAGAAAGGGGTTCTAAACTTCCTAGAAAATACATTGGCATCATCAATGACATTTTAAGTATGACCATAAGACCTATCACAAAATTGTATGACTAACGATCACTACTGAGGAAAAGCAGTTCCCTTTCTGCTGTATTATTACTGTTAATTTAGTCCATGTCCATTAAATACGTTTTCTGATTTTTAAGATACTTTTCTTCAGTTTTGTCATTTGTGGTTAAGGGTGGTCTTTCCTGATAAGTTATAGTAAATTAGTAAATTTTAAACTGGCAATTCTGCTTTGAAATTGACGAATTACAGAATATGTTGGACCAAGGTATAACATACAGATCATGTTTGTGAGAGAATGAACCTGATAATAAGATATTGATATTGTTATTTAAAAGTTGATTTCTCTGATACACTTTAATAAGTAACAATGTTAGTTACCAGATGTACCACAGGCTTAAATTAGCACTGGTCTGCCAAAGATTTGTTTCGTTTGTTTGTGTGTGTGTGTGTTTTTTTGGTTTTGTTTTTTTTTTTTTTTTTTGGGGGGGGGGGGGGGGGGGGGTAGGGGGGATGGACTGGTATGTCAAAGTTAGAATGATATGTTAGCCTGTGTCATCTTTGAAGATTGTAATATACTTGTGCCTACCAACACTTCAGCATAGCTAAATTTTTAATTGAAGGTAATAGCCTTCATAACAGTAATGGCTGTGGTGTAGCAAACATGTTGGGTATCCTTTATGGCTGTTTTGAACTTTTGACTCTCAGGACATGTCTGAACAGAGAAATCTATGTAAATTTATATAAAAACTGGGATTGTTAAATATGCTTGCTAGGTGTATGTTTGACCACACATATAATTTGGTGCATAACTTACCACTAATAGATTGTTGTATGTCACATGGTTCCTTCTTTTACTGATTAGATCTTCAAGATTTGCTCTTTCTATTTGTTGTCCACATATTTTGATTAAACAGAAACTATGGACAACCTTGCATAAGTTGAATGGACAAATCATCTTTGAAGTTTTGAGCATATGAGCATTCTAGATAAACTCCATTTGTGGATATCCATGTATTTATGTGTATTTGATGCTAGAGCGCTCAAGAACGCACAGTTTCGCACAAATCTAGGCCTACTTAAGTGCATTGTTATTTTTCTTGTCACCCTAGTATGATCATTTTCTTTCTCAATGTAGATTGGTAAAGATGTTGCTGCTCAATATGTTGAGGGTTGGGATTGGATGGCTCCTATAAGGTGACTGATTTATCTGTCTGACAGATTACCCAAACTGCAGTTTTACGCTATTTGTTTCCATGTTGACATTGTTTCATAAGGTATTCTATTGTTCAGAGTTCCATTAAAAAAAATATTTTTTGCATTAATAATTATATTGATGCTTGAATAGAGCATGGCTTTCATCAATTTCTGAGCATATACTTCTTTGAAATTCAAAGGCAAAAGCCTTTATGGATAATTTGCAAATTCATTCATTTCATTGTTAATAATTTCAGCCTCACTTTAAGATAATACTTTACTGCAATGCTTTATGTGATTGAGAAATTGCTTGTCCAAGTCTTGGTTATAGAAACATTATAAATAAGCTTAATTCTCTATATTTACATATAGACATATGTATATATAAAACCATACTATTGGAAACTACAAGGCTTTGCTCAAATTGCTGGAAGAGTGGGTCCTTTGCTACGAGACAGAAAATAAAGTCAAGCTAGGAACTTGAGACGATGAGATGGTAAACTTTGTGTTCCCGTGCTTTATCAGACAAAATTTGTGTTACGGAATGTTGGGACACAATGATTCTTGACCTTACTTTAAAGTTCAGATTTTAGAATATAGAATTCCATCTGGAGTTATTTAATGATAATTAAGTACAAATTTGAAGTTGGTCCCTTGTGATCCCTGACAAACTTGGTGGTGAGGTTGTTGAATGCACTGGTTTTGAGAGTCTGAGAGAGGAAAGGGGGAAGAAGAGAGTTAATATGAGACAGAAGGGGGTTTGCTCCTCCGTATATCCTTTACCAGTTGCTAAAAATAAGACTGAAACTACAGTTATATTCCTAGTACATTTTATTACTTTTCGTACTCTTAACCTGGAATATGGGTGTCTATCATGCTCAGCTTGTTTTGTTTATGAAAATGACTCTTAATATAGGCTATGGCAATTCTCTTCTCCTTCATCTAATCCCAAGCAACATGGCAGTCTGCTTCTATATGCTCGCTTTTCATAAATATTATTTGGTGTCGGGTCGCATTGTGACCCACTTACGACCCGTTGGATGAGCCCCTGAGGAAATTTTTTGATCCATTTGTGCTCATGGGCTGCGGACCCTAATTAGTCTCTTGTAGCCCGATGTATAAGGGTGCTTAGGGTTTGGAGTGGGGTAAGAGAGACTCTCAAATTCGTACAAAAATAGAGTGGGGCTGAAAACTTGTAATTTCCGATTTTACACATAGTGAAACTTTCGCCGGATCCCAACCGTGGACGTAGGCTATTGCCAAACCACGAATAAATCTTTGTGTTCTTTGTGTGGCGTGTTTACTTTTCTATCGTGATTCTTGGTTCAACTTGGGTTCGTTGCGTTTGTCATAACATATTGAATTAGAAACAATATTTGTAGAAGTATGACTATTGTAAAACATTTTCACGGGTGAGCCATTGGCAAAATCCACTTCCTACAAAAGTGATCTGACTCTCATTTTCTATAATAGCTCTTTGTTTAGTATTCAAACCAAATCTTGCTACCACATTTTGTTTCTTGCTGTTCTATGTAGTGTGGCTTTCAGGCATGCTACCTAAAAACTGATATCTCCTACTGATCTCCATAGAAATGATCCACATCATCAAGAATAGTAAAAGGCCTAAATATTAGACCAACTTTGGAACTCCATTTAAGCACCTTTAGATAAGAACCAATGTCGTGGCCCTGGACTCTTCGTAAATTGCATACGATTCCAACTGCAAATGCAATACTGAATTAGTTATAGTTTCATATACAAGCTTTACTACCAATTTTTGCTTCTGCCTGTGAACCTCTTAATTGTCTAGTTCTTCTTATCTCTCACCTCTCTCAAGGGATGCCTCTTCCTTTTTCTTTTTTTTTTTCCCCCACACATTTCCCCCTTTTCTTTGATAGAAGTTTGCTTCCTACCAGAAAGGGTAGAAGAGAACAGAAGGATATATTCCAATTACTAAAAAAGTTCAGAGAGTAAATATTTTATATTGGTTTTAGTTGCCAAGCTTGCTGCTCTCCACTTCAATCACGTTGTATTTGACCCCCACCCCGAAGAAGGTGGGGAAGAAAGAAAGAAAATTAGTTTTGTTTTGCCAATGCTCTTGTATTATTTAATAACTGATTCAACAGATGGCTTTGTTTGTCATCAGTTACAGCTTGCAAATCTTTGCTAAGAATTCATCATCTAAAGATAAATAAGGCTAGTTTCTATTTTATTTTTAGAATTTTTGCTGCAATAACATGTTTTTTTCCCCTATTTTCTTAGTTTTTAATTGTAACTATATATTATTTTGATCAAATGGAAGCAAGAACTACTCGTTATTACCATAAATGACCTTTATCTCATTACAGGGATAGGAACACTGGCATCTGGGATGAGGTATCCATTTCTGTTACCGGGGTGAGCATTGGTTCAAATTTTGCAGTGTTTCATTTCCTTTAACAACCTTTTCTGTGGTGTTTTGTCATCAGTTCTTTGTTGGACAAACTATAAAGCAAGCTGTTGAAGGTGCAACTTGTTTAATGATGGAATGACTAGATTTAAAGTGGTTGTCTCATGATAAACGATTCTTAATTTGATATATCTTGAATTACTAGACAAATGTAACTTGGTCTTTTGACTATAGGTGCATGAGAGAAGGAAATAAGTATTATTTCCTTTCCTTCTTGATTTTAAATGCAATTTATTGGGTACAGTGTACACTATGTCCTGTGCTAGTTCCGAGCGAAAAGGGAAAATAGGCATCAACTACAAGCCTACAATATAATCTCCCTCTCTCTCTTTCTCTCTCACTTGATAAAAAATAAATAAAGCAATCTACTAAATAAAACTAAATTGCATTCGTCATGTAATTCATAAAATTTCCAATTCTTCATTGATGCATTGCCATTTGGTGCAGCCTGTGAAAGTAGTGGATCCCCACTTGGTTTCAACATTCTTTGACAATTACAGAAGGGTATATCTGCATGCCACCACTGAATTGGTAAATAGAAGTGCATGGGTTGCTGAGTGTACTTTGAACATCCAAGTGACAATTGAACTTGAGGGAAGCTTTTGCTTAGTAGAGCATTTTCAGAAAGAACATTTGTCAATCCCTCCTGGAGCACATGTTCAATATACGTTTCCTGAGGTCTGTTCTCGTATAGCTTTTGTTGAGCCAAGTAGATGATGATTATTATTATTTTTTCTAAGTTATTTATTTATTAATTTTTTCATAAACGAACTGTTTTGATAAAAAAATTAAAAATAAAAAATAGCATTTTTTGTTTTATTTTGCTGTATTTATAGCATAGCTACACCTCGATATTGATGTCAATTTGGGAGGTGTTACAATTCTTGATGGCAATGTAGCAAACTTCTTAATTTAAAATTTTAAAACATGTTATATGCTTAGCTTGACACTTGGTATCAAGTTGCTAATTTTGCTTGCAATACTCCAGTTGAAATGTTAATAATTTTGTATTTACAGCTTTTTTTCTACAAGCCCAATTTATGGTGGCCAAATGGCATGGGAAAGCAATCCCTGTATAATGTTGGAATGAGTGTTGATGTCAAGGGATATGGAGAGTCTGATTTATGGAGCCAACTTTTTGGATTCCGCAAAATTGAGAGCCATATTGATAGTGCAACAGGTGGAAGGTATATGCTTACTTTCTTTAAATTAGTTTTTTAAACGAACATTATTTCCGAGGTGGTTTATATGTATGCCTTTTACCTTATACTTTTCTACTGCACAGGTTGTTTAAAGTTAACGGGCAGCCAGTTTTCATCCGAGGGGGTAATTGGATACTGTCAGATGGATTACTACGCCTTTCAAAGAAACGTTATAAAACAGACATCAAGTTTCATGCAGATATGAACTTTAACATGATTCGCTGCTGGGGTGGTGGACTGGCTGAGAGGCCAGAGTTTTATCATTACTGTGACATGTATGGTCTGCTGGTAGGATCTCTCTCTCTCTCTCTGTTTTTGTGTGTGTGTGTGTTGAAAAAGAGGGTGTATGGATATGAGAGGGTGAATTAACTTGATATTTCCTGTGATGTTGAAGTCAGAGTGGTAAAATTTATTTTGCTGCTTACTTATCAAATATATATATATATATATATATATATATTTTGCTGCTTAGTTTCATCTTGTGGGAGATATGATCATATTAATTAAATGAATATTGCCAAAGAATCTCTGCCAACCAACTTGAAGACATAATTTTGGAAATCTAGCATAAATTGCATAGAAAACTTATAAAACCCACATATTTTTTAATCTGCATGAGAACTTTGATAAAGTGATATTGTCAATAAAATTATTTATAAACAAAAAGGTCCTTATCCCGTATGATCCCCATCAATTGAGGGCGTTGCCAAAAAAAAAACTTGGATAAAGACCTAAAATTTGACATTATATGCACGAAATGGTTGTGTATTCAAACAAGAACCCCTGTTCTCATGCTTGGTAGCGTGGTCTCTTTAACCACCACGATGAGCGATACCCCTTGCATGTATTTATAGAAAATGTAATGCAAATGCTGATATTCTTGTTCTGCCATACATTGATGACATGTGCTAATTGAATTGAGTCTATTGATGAAGAAAATATTAAATAATTTTGGCGTAGCACGAAAGATGAATGTTAACGTTATAAAATAGGGCATCCTGGTCAATTGGGTCCAGAAGCAACAGGCTATATATGATATTTTTGTATATTTACTATCTGTCTGTTGCTTGGTATGCCTTGATAAGTATATTAAGATTCTGGCTAGTGGCTAGTGATTGTGAGGCCCTAACTCTTGAGTGGAGAGGACACCAGAGACCTTTGCCCTTCCATACCTTTAAGAGAACATTCTCTAATCTTCATTCTCCTATACATTCCGTTCCATGTAAAGGATGTAGTGAGGCTGAAGTTCAGAGTTGGAGAATTTCTGCAGTTGTATATATAATCATTCCCAAGTATTAGCTTGAATGGTATCTCCTACGCACCTCCAAAACCCCCTCCCAAAAAAGGAGGTTGAGGGTTCAAGTCTAGAATAGGATATTTACCGATCAGAAGAATCTTTGTTCTTTCTTGTAGTGAGATGTTTTGTCTTGGAAGTGCCACAGAAAATAGGTAGAGTTCATAGATTTAGATTAAACAGGAAAGTATTAGCTAGAAATGTAGTTCTAGAATTATATTTTCCTTTCCTTTTCTTTTTAAGTAAATATTTCTGGAACTGAACATATTGATGTTCCATTGACTAGTGGTCGTCTAAATGCATCCTTTCTTCCCTTACTCTAGACAGGTTTTTTTTCTTTTCTAAATCATAGAAGGTTCGTATAATTACTTATCTTTCCTGGTGCATTTACTAGTCTTTGTTGTTCGTGAACAATCCATGTTACAATTTCCCCCTTAATTACTGCTAGCTTCCCAAGAATGCATTCATTTTCTTTTTGTATCTTCTTATGTATTGCCAGTTTCCAGGTATCCATCTCCCACCTGGGTTGTAGCTAAATTTGCCGTGTTCTTGTTTTTTTTAAACAATGTAATTTATATTTCCAGCAATACATTTTTACATGTAGTAAGGTGATTTAACAAAATAGAGTTCTGAAAGGCCTTTACTGGAAAAAAAATCTAGTCTGCAGATGAATAAACTCTTCTGGACTTTTCATCACGGTTCTAACCCAGGTGTGGAGTGTTGCAACAATGGCAGCTTTTGTTGGGCTTCATTTAATTTTAATTCAGGAATCTAATGTGATGCAAGGTCCTGTTCTGCATCTTCTAATGTAATGCGAGGTCCTGTTCTGTGTCTTCCAAGAGAATTGATGGAGGACCATCTCGCTCCAGAACATAACCTTTTGGCCCCTCCCAGTGGGATTATTTGAAATTTTTTATTTAAGAAGACTCCTGCAGGTTCATCAAAGCTTATGGAAGCAAAGAATGGCTGTTCACTATTTCAAAAGGGCATTCCAACACCTAAAGTAATAATGGTTTCATATCTAAAACAAACTACCAATTCCTTTGAAGCTACTATCACACTACCCAATAACTGGGATTAGGCACAAAAGAATAGGATTGAATTAAGATATATACTGACTTTCAGCTGACCCCAAGTAATTGGGAAAAGGCTTGGTGGTTGTTATTGTTGTACTGTCTTTCAGCTGACCTTTCCAAAAATGTTCCAATCCTTTCCAGCAATGGGGCCTTTTGACCAATATATGATTAGTTTAGGAAGGTTGGCTGGCCTACAACAGGCAAGGTGTGTGGGAGAAAGGATGCTAAAAAGAGAGGATTTTGTCCAATCGGGGTACAGTGGACCTCATTGGATTAATCTTATTCTGTTTGAAGTTAAATTTATAAAATCTGCCATTCTGCCAGAATTTTCATTCTTTCCCTGGTATGCTTTTTGTAGGTGTGGCAAGAGTTTTGGATAACTGGAGATTGTGATGGGCGAGGTATCCCAGTATCAAACCCAGATGGTCCCTTGGACCATGAACTTTTCTTGCTATGTGCAAGGGACACCATCAAGCTTCTGAGGAATCATCCTAGTCTTGCTCTTTGGGTTGGGGGGAATGAACAAGTTCCGCCAGAGGACATCAACACAACTTTGAAAAATGACCTGAAACTCCATCCACACTTTGAAGGCTTAAATGAAAGTGGCAAGTCACAAGAAGACATTACCAAAACTTTAATAGATCCTAGCCAATTTCTTGATGGCACGCGCATTTACATTCAAGGATCTATGTGGGATGGCTTTGCAAATGGTAAGGGGGACTTCACTGATGGCCCTTATGAAATTCAGAATCCTGAAAACTTCTTTAAGGATGACTACTACAAGTATGGATTCAATCCTGAGGTCGGCTCTGTGGGAATGCCTGTTGCAGCTACTATCAGAGCAACAATGCCTCCAGAAGGGTGGCAGATTCCATTGTTCAAAAAGTTATCCAATGGCTACGTAGAAGAAGTTCCAAACCCCATATGGGAATACCATAAATACATACCTTATTCAAAACCAGGCATTGTTCATGATCAGATTTTACTTTATGGGACACCAATCGATCTTGATGATTTTTGTCTCAAGGTAAATACAATCTCTATCTGTTGATGCAAGATTCCTTTAGTCTCCTCTTCTCTCCTTTTCTTGTATTGACTAATTCCAAATAACATTGTCAGGCTCAACTTGTTAACTATATTCAGTATAGAGCACTCTTAGAGGGTTGGACTTCCCATATGTGGAGCAAATACACTGGTGTCTTGATTTGGAAAACTCAGAATCCTTGGACGGGTCTTAGAGGTCAGTTTTATGACCATCTCCACGACCAAACAGCCGGGTTCTATGGCTGTCGTCATGCTGCAGAACCAATCCATGTCCAGCTGAATCTAGCAACGTATTTTGTAGAGGTAATTTGTGCATCTATAACAATTTTAATGTCTTTATCATGCAAATCATACATAAATGGAACACACTAGGTGTTTGAGATTGGAGAGGAAAGTTATGGTCGTTTCTTACTTCCATATGCAGGTGGTTAACACTACATCCGAGGAACTATCTAACGTAGCCGTGGAAGTTTCAGTGTGGGATCTGGAAGGAACATGTCCATACTACAAAGTTTCCGAAAAGCTATCAGTGGCATCTAAAAGAACAGTTCCTATTTTTGAGATGAAGTATCCGAAGTCTAAAAATCCAAAGCCAGTCTACTTTCTTCTTCTCAAACTCTATACTATATCAGACTATGGTATTTTATCTAGGAACTTTTATTGGTTACATCTGTCTGGAGGAGATTACAAACTGTTGGAACCGTACAGAAACAGCAAAATACCCCTCAAGATAAAATCTCAGGCTTTCATAAAAGGTTCCACTTATGAAATCCAAATGCATGTACAGAACACATCAAAGAAACCATCCTCTACAATTCCTCTTGACAAGAATAATTTCACTGTAATAAACAGTGATGATAATTTTGATATGGCCTCATTGGAACCTGTGCATAGTGAGATCGAGAAGAAACAGGAAGTTGGTTTAGTTCAGAGGATTTATAGGCATTTTTCAAGGGAAGACGGTGGTTTGAAGGTTGCTGAAATTAATGGAGCTGAAGTTGGAGTTGCCTTCTTTCTTCATTTCTCTGTTCATGCTTCGAAGACGGATCATAAGGAAGGGGAAGACACGAGGGTTCTACCTGTTCATTATTCTGATAACTATTTCTCACTGGTGCCAGGGGAGGTGATGCCTATCACTCTCTCTTTTGAGGTCCCTCCGGGTGTCACCCCACGAGTTACTCTTGAGGGCTGGAATTACCACGGTGGGCATACTGTTTATTGAGCAAGGTAAAATAGTTTTATATTTATTGTCTGTGGTGCTGCATAATGATTTCAACGAATTTTTACTGCCAATCTGACAACCGAGGATAAACTTTAATTTCTGTTTTTGCTGCTGTTGGAACATTATCACTGAAGTGCTCTTGGTGATACCAGAAACTAAGTGACATTGTAGTTCAAAGGACTCTCAATTCAATACCTTCAATTGGATGCTTATTCGCGCCAATACATGCAGTATGCGTGATATATATTTATGAGGATTATAAAATCCCAATTATTGATACCCTTCAGACTTTCGTGTGATTGGTGTTCCACATTATTTGGTTAGTGTGATTGCAATTTCAATCAAACCTAGAATCATTTTCAATCTCAGACCATTGCCTAATAGCAATGTACAAAAATCAGGCATTGAACTACAGAGGACAAACAATGCATCGAAGCATTTCTTTTACTTAAATTCTTTTTAGATATTGAACCTTTTTTTCTTCTCAGTTTTCCCGGATATGAGGACGAGGTAAGGTTGTTCCATTGTGACCTAGAGGTCACGGTTTCGAAACAAGGAAACAACATCTTCATATACGGAGGTAAGGCTACGTGTATCTCCCCAAATTCCGCAATAGCTGGATCCTTGTGCACTGGATCAAGGGAAAGGATTTGAATCTTTACCTTTTTCTTCTCAATTTTCTTTCTGGATATAGTCCTGAGAATAAAGAAAAGATGAGCCCTTATTTCAACTTTAAATGTTTTCTTCCTTCTTGTAATGAAAGGGTATCTCTACTCTTTGGGTATCCCTGAGGCTGGTCCCAAGATCAGGAAAACCAGTTTTTCCTCTTCATTTTTTTTTTGGGAAAAAAATAAATGAAAAGAAATTCCAAATATAACTGTGGCAGAAATTTCAAATTCAACTGTGGAAAAGTTTATCATGGGACATTGCTAAAATAAAAGGAGTTGATAATGCTAGATATTGTTTAAAAAAATAATGCTGGATATTGAGAAAAGAAAAAACAAATAGAAAGAAACAATAATGTTAACTTTTCTGAAACAATTCATAACTAGGAAGAAAAAATAAAGAGAATGATGGTGACAATCTCTTCATACGATTTCATAAAAAGCAAAAAGAAATAGTGAATTTTCATGGACCACGAAATTGAATAAAAGTTTTATGGGAATGGATTCTTTACAATAGTTTTCCTCTGCAGCATTTCTGGTCCCAGTTGACTAAGAACCAGTTCTTCATATATCTTCACGTTTCAATGCTAGTACATCACTATTTTGTTTTGGATTAAATTGGTTATGAAACCATTTTTTCTTGTTGGATGAAGCCCTGAAATTCTATTTGACATTCTCAATTTTATTATTATTTTTTGTCTTTTCGCGTAACTATATGGTTGGCCCCTATGTTACATAAAGTGGAAGAGGAAGCAGTAAATTTGAAAGCGAGAGCGCAAAATTGACAGATTAAATCATAAATAGTGCGAATGGGAGTTAAATCACGTGAAGAGTGAGAGGAGTAGTGCGCTTAAGAGTGGAAGACTTGGGTTGGCCTTTACAAAATTATAAAGAATTCTAAAAAAATATCTGTAAATAATAGCAAGTTTAAAAAAAACACACAAAATAATTGGATTAAAAATCTAACACATGGTCCCTCAAACTATATAAGAAAACTCAATTTAAGTCCTTTATGTTTTGTTTCTCAATTCGAAAAGCATAATAATTTCAAATATAAATCATATTCCAATTATATTTCTCATTCTATACACTTATTAGTTCTTTATGAAATATTTTCAATTAGTAAATTAACTTTTTTGAATCTACCTTTCCCAAAGTTCTATTGTAAAGAAAAATATTTTACGTATTAATTTTTTAAAATCCTATTTTCATTTATGCACCTATTAGTGTAAGGACACTCACTGAGTCACTTCCTCTCTTCAGAACATGTGGCGGTTGAACGAAGGAGAACCAAGTAATAACACAGTGGAAGCAGAGCATCTAGAGAGAGAAAGTGCGAGTCCGTTAGAGAGAGATGGGATGCTTGTCCCTCTACAACAAAACCGTTCCACTCCCTCCCTTTCGAAAAACCGTTGCAGATCATAACGGTCTCAAATTTCCCTCCATGCCCTTCTCATCGCCATCCCCTTTCAGCTTCCCAATTCTGAAGAACCCATTTCCTTTCTCTTCTCCTTCAACATCTCCATTTACAGTCAATTGCAGAGACACAACTGGAGATTCACCTCTCTCCACTTCTTCGGCTTACGACTTGCTCGGCATCAACCCCAATTGCTCTCCGTCCGAGCTCAAATCCGCTTTTCGAACAAAGGTAAGATACACTTGCGACTTTGCTTGGTTCAGTCTTTCGAGAACAGTGTTCTTTTTTTTTTTTCTTTTTTTTTAATTAAAAATCCATAATCTGTACAAAAATCGTTTAATAATTTTTAAAATCAATTTTAAAAAGAAAGTTGTTTTTAGTAAAGTGCCTTTTGTAGTGTTATGAGTTTCTTCTTGTTTTTAGAAAACTGAAGTAAGCAGGCCCTAATGTTTGGAATTAATTCAACAATTAATTATTTTTTCTTTTACCTATTTGATATATATAGATTTTGTGGGTGGGTTTGCTATATATATATATTTTTTGTTACTTTTTCTATATGGATTTGTTGGTACAGGTGAAGCAGTTTCATCCAGATGTAAGAAAAGATGGGGAAGAGTCAGATACTATGATTCGTCGTGTAATTCAGGCTTATCAGGTACAAATTTTTACAGTTGCTAATCAATTTAGTTTCTTTTTATACCTTCTGTCATAGTAGCAAGATTAAAGAAATAAAAGAGTTGATGAAAAGAAAGCAAACAAGTTTACAAATTTTCATAAAAGATCCAGGAAAGGGTAAGATAACCTCATTTGAACAAGTTACCAATCAGAATCAGTATGCTCTTTCACCTACTAGTAATGATATGACAATATATATATATATATATATATATATATATATATAGTAATGATCTCTTGCTCACCGGTGAGCAAGAAATTCATCCGCACCAAACATGATAACCACCAAACATGGTAACCATTAGATGTTAAAAAGGTAGTTTACCAAAATAAGATAGCAATCACATCCAACTATCATCATGCATGGTGCGGATAGATTTCTTGCTCGCCCGTGAGCAAGAGATCATTTCTGTATATATATACAAGTACATTGAAGAAATTTAAAGAAGTTCATGAAAAATTGCAAGTGTAATCAATATTAATTATATAATTTTTTGTACTATTTATTTCTAGAAGTTTTCCTGTTCTATTGCTATGAAGTGCCATTTTTAGTTGGATGCTTCATTTCAATTACCCACTTTGACTTCTCTCATTTCATCTGTGTTTTCCAACTATACCAACTTTATGGTGCCGGATTGTTTTTTTAGCTCTAAACATGTTACTATTGATGGTAATTAATGCATGGCGTGGCTGTTAATGTGTGCAGATGTTATCCAACTACAGCAGATCAGAAATTATTGAGAGGTAACCTCAGTGTCATTTTATTCAGAGTTCACTACTGGAAGTGTATCAATATGTTCTCTTTTCATTGTTTTTAAAGATTTCTGTCCATTTTGAATTCTTTCCTCATCATATTGGCACCATTACACTTCATCTTTTTCCGGTTTATCAGTTTTGTAATGAAACATATAAGTTTTGTCACCTTTCCAACTATCTCTCCAGTATGTAGGACTTTGTTGGCCCAATCACTGTTTTGTTGAGGAAAAACTAATCCAATTCGGAGTTGTTGATTTTTATACTGATCGATCGTAGAAGAAAACTCCTAATTCGTTCTTATTAAGCTTCCTTCCCTAGTGTATCAATTCATTCTCCTTTCATTGTTTTCACAGATTTTCTGTCCATTTTGAATTCTTTCCTCTGTATATTAACCATCATATTGGCACTTTTACACTTTTCAATATAGAATACTTTCATGGTTCATATTGTTTGTCTCAATTAAGTTGCATCGTGATCCATAAACCATAGTCCTCGCCTTCGGGCTGATTGGTGGTTTATTATTTCTTTTACCTTTTTTTTTTTGTTTTGTTCATGTTTCAACTTTGTGTACCCATTCTCACTGTTGGAGATGCATTTGTAGGGAATGCCTTGATCCTTTCGATGAACCAGAATGTGAGGCATTTGACCTCTTCGTCAATGAGGTTCTTTGTGTTGGCAGAGGTACCAATGTTTTCATTTTATTGTTCCAGACAGCCTTCTATCATCATTACTTAAGAAACCATTATAGTGGGATTGGAAGTTTTGGGTTTTAGACTAATAATTGATGTTCCTCTTTTAGACTGGGATTTTAAGAGAATAAATCATAGTCAAAGATACTCAGAAACTGTTTAAATCCTCTTTTCCGCGATGATGTGATTACAATTTGATATTCTGTAAAAGTGAAAGAAAGTTTGCATGGGGAAATTGTTTCCCACAGTTCGGACCGAGCTGGAACAGCAAAAGGTGAACTTTTACCTAGAAAATAATACTTATGATGTTAACATTATTGATATCATTGTTAAGCTGCAGGAGGTCAGTAGTAATACAATATGATATCGTCTCAGATATCCACGTTTATTGCACATTGGAATCCCTTACAAAAACATTTCATGAGCATAAAAAGCTCATATTCATTTTGTTACCTTATTACTTATTCCAGAAATTCGGGTGCTTATCCGTGCGCTGTGAATGGTCCTGTTTAGACAAAATTACTTTTTAATGATACTGAAGCCTTATATTTTTCCTTACTGGAAAGAAACAAGCCTGATTTATTATTATTATTCAAAAAAAAAAAAATTATTCATCTAAACACTCTAGCTGCACACTATGAAAAAGAAATCCAAGTAACTATTCGTAATTATATTGTAATGAATTCCAAAAGTGAGGGAAAATCATCCATCTGATTTACTAAATATTTATGCAGTATATATGATCTTTTGCTGCTTTGGCTAGTACATATATTGGTCTTGAAGAATGTGAAGTATGGTTCTGTTAATCATCAATCACACTAGAATAGTTTACTTCTAGATAATTAATGCACCAATGGATTGTCTACTTATTCTGTACAACCGGCTTTCAAAAAAAAAAGAATGTGTGAGAATGATTACTCTCATAAACTGTATTCTTTGGAAAAAGCACACTAATTCAATATTTCTTAAGTACTACAAAATGATATAAATTTATATTTTCTTTTTAAAATATCATTGTGCAAGTGATCTGCAGGGTGTCCATATTCATGTGTAAAAAGAGCGCCTCATGCCTTCACCTTTGCTTCTTCGACGGGAACTGCACGTGCAACTTCTCAAGGTTAGTTTATTCTTTCATTCTGTTATTCTAATATTATCTGAAAAATAGTAGGCAGGGAAGAAAAAAAAAGATTGCAAGATGGTTAGAAAATATGCCATTTACTGCACAATATTTTCAACGACCTAGGTTCTTGACATGATTTTTCTTGATAGTTGTAATGTATTATTATTTCAATAAAATAGAATATTAGTCCTGCAGTGCGTCATTAATTTCGACACTTTCCTCCTTCAATCAGGGCATGGCGAAGATTACCAAGTTCAGCTTGCCGTTGGTCAGTGCCCAAGAAATTGTATTCATTATGTTACACCTTCTCAGAGAGTTATTCTGGAAGAGCTGCTTGACAGGTTGTAACACATCAAACTCTTGAAACTTTCGTTAATGCACATGAACCAAAAAATTTTACCAGAGAGAAAATTCATCTGAAAATAACCATATAGAACAACTCACATTTAGCCACATTTTGTGAAATAATGGAGCTTGTCTCCTTTCTTGCGTCAGTTCGATCGCATGGAATATACATTATGAAATGGGGAATCCAATTGATTTGTCACCAAACCAGATTAGGATGAGCCTTGCCACGAACTTGAATTCCTGACATGCAGATGAATTAACCACCACTTGTGCCTCTTGTGGGTTGCTGCTAGCTTTACAATTTGTAAAAATCTCTTTCATGTTTATACCTAAATTCTCATTTATATCATTTATTTTGAACTTGCAGTATCTTGAACGTGCCTTATGCTAGTTTGGCCGAGGCAGACTTGCTTTATTCGCTTATCACAAAAGCAAAATTTGAGAACAACCGATACCAGAAGCCAAAGCAAAGACCTAAGGCTTCAACCAAACATGTAGATTGGTTTTAATATCCGAACACCTGGAGGTGATATGCTGCATAAAATTTCTCTTCATTCACCAAATTCGGCATGCAGTACATTTATATGGAGGAAACTAGGAACCACTAGTAACGGTGATCATTATCTATGGAATTAATTGGCAAGGGGAATTCTGCTTCACGTGTTGTTTCGGTTAAATGAAATCCAATGAAGTATGATCAGGGAAATATTTTGGTGAAGCTACTTCCTTAAAAGCTCTCTTATTAGCTAGGAAATGTGAAATTGCTACAGTTTCTATTTTCTCGTCTTTTCGGTATAAAATGAAATCGCTGTCTAGATGAAAAATGTGTAGTTATCATTAATGATATACATTACAAACATGGAATAACTCATCCCTGTATATACTCTAGATGAAAATTTTCTATTTAAAGCTCATTTATCTGTCTGCTACACGAAAATGGTGTTTAAGGACTTTCCTGATGTATTGAGATTACAGGCTTATGCTGATGTTGAAAATAAGGTCTATCTTAAGGGAAATTTCAAGGACTTGGTTGTCTATAGTTGTGTATCTAAATATACCATTACGGCATGTCTTTAAAAGTTACTTGCAGTTTGTGAGAAGCTATGAGCCACTGGTTATATTATGTTATAAATTATATGGGCACTTGGGTACAGTTGCTTGGATTCTTTTCAGTTTGTGAGTAGCTCCCTTGTTATACATACATCTATACATATGTAGGCGCTTGCACGCAGTTGCTTAGACTCTTTCAGTTTGTGTGTAGCTCTGGCAATTGTTATATTTATTTATATATGTGAAGTTATGGCCCTAATTGTAATGACCTGATTTTTTTTACCTGTTTTGTCTTGCGGGTCATGGGCCTGGTTTGTTGACTCTCTTGTGACCCAGTATATAAGGGAATATAGAACTTTGTTAGGGTTAGCCGGTTGTGAGAGAGAAAGAGGGGGTTGGGGGCTTGAAACTTGTAATCTCCTATTTTTTTTGCATGGTAAAACCTTTCGTTGAATCTTCATTGTGGATGTAGGTTATACGTCAAACCACATGAACTTTTGTATTTGCATAGACTTGACTAAAATTGCATTGATTGGGACACTTTTAGCTTCCTTATGTATGCAGGTTCTTGGACTCTTGATGAAGATTTTGTTTTCTAAAAAAACTTGGAAAAATAAAATTGAACTGAAATTAGAATCCCCAATTTGCATTTCCAGTATACAAAAATTGTCATGATGGAAGTTTATGGCATGTAATTAAAAGATCAATGAAATTTTTTAGAACATTATATCCGTTGTCGTACTCCACCTTACATTTATTAAGTTGATTCATTGTTAGGAGCCCTTTAATAGCTGACGAAAGACTTAGTTGAATGTGGTAACGAGAAATTATTATATGGTTCTCAAATCATATGCGTAGGTCAAGATATTCAATGTACCAAGTGCATTAGACTAATATCTACGTTACACTACGTATTGCGTACAACTAGGTAATGCCTACTCCGGTCACACAATTAAAGTTCAAGAAAACAAACATGCCCTTGCGGTTCCCACTCATTACTAGGTTTTATCTGAGTCTCTGTCTCTATTTTTAACCTGTGGATTACATAAATCTTTCTTTCGTTCGTGGTGGATTCCCTGCTATGTTCAATCAACTAGTTGGATATTTCTTTCGGTGCTTCAGGTAAGAATTATTGGTCAGAAAAGTATATTTATTTGGTCCATCTTAACTTTATGCTATATATATATAGAGAGAGAGAGAGAGAGAGAGAGGGTAAAGTGCAAAATCCTCCTTCAATTATGTCTAAATTTGCAAATAACCCCCTAAACTATGTTTTATGCATAAAACCCTCTTAACTATCACATTTAGTTGCAAAATGCCCCATTCTCTTACCTATTTTTCATTAAATGACCAAAATACCCTTTCTTAATGAATTACACTTGATATTTTTTTCTTGTTGAAATAAATTATGAAAAAAATTCTAACTAATTTGAAGAAATATTCTCCATTAAATTTGCATAAGTTTGCCTTTAATTTTTTAAAATTAATTATTTAAATAAAAATCTTAAACAGAAAATTTTGAAATAATTTAAGCAATTTCTTAATTTTCTTGAATATATTCCATTAAAAAGAAGAGATTTTTTATTTATGTAATTTATTAATTTTTTATGAATATTGTTTGAAAAAGAAGATTTTTTTTTTATACTACATTTTTTTTTAAAGTGAGTACAATAAATTTTATTATAGTAAGTTAATCATTTAAAAAATGATAGCTAAAAATCTTTCTTTTTTTTTTTTCATTTTTATAATCAATTGATACAAATTATAAAATTAAGGTAAATGGTATAATTAATATCTAAATAAGAGAAAATATAATAAGAAATAACAAATTAAATAAGAAAGGTAAAATAGTCTTTTGAGATGGGTTTGTCCTTAATTGCAGCAAATCAATAGTTTAGGGGGACAATCTTTAGTTCAGGGGGGGTTAGTTGTAAAAGGCCAATAGTTCAGGTTTTTTTTTTTTGCTCTTTACCCACATATATATATATATATATATATATATATATATATATATATATATCAAAAGGCAAATTAATTTTATGTAATTCATTATACCAAACATCCAATGTAAAAAACCAGAAAATTGAAAATTGTTTAGGCTTTCCCCTGGTAATACCAATTTAGCCCTAACAATACAAGTCAAAAAATTTACCCCAAACCCAAGGTTACCCTGATCCGTTAATTAAAAAAAAATGTCCGCAAATGCATTGTATAGTTGCAATCAATTCCTAAGTTATATCCACAAAACAACAAAATTTAAATATAAAAAAAATTACCAAAAATCCCAGAAGGAGTGATCAATTTTTATTTTATTTTTTTTTTAAAAAAATTATTCATACTCGGGCTGATGTTCCGTGAATAAATCCCAAATATGAGTTTCAACGTGTTTTACATATTTTGAGCAGTAGATAGCATTGTTGGTGCAGATTTTCATATCAATTTGGCAACATTAAACTATATCAAGTACCAGATGCAAAAATTATATAATGACATTTGCAAGAACTACTAGCTTCAATAGTTAAAATTAACAAGACATCCTCCACCCAACATAAGAAAACCTTTTTCACAATTATTTGTGGTCAAACACAAGATCCAGGTCTCAATACTTGATGGTGGACCTTTTTCTAAAGAATTAGAATTGGGCATGGATTAAAAAATATCAATCCAAATTTAATTAGGGTTGGGGTTGGATTGAAATGCTAACAACTCAAATCAACCCAAACCTGAATTCTAATATTATTTTCATATATATTTTTATTTTTAAATACATTATATATAATATTTAAATTATGATTACTTTTTTTTTTTCAACTTTTTTTTTATTAAATGTTAACTTATTGTATGTTAATATTTAGGAGAATTAATTTTCTAAAAATTTGTTTGTGAGTTATTAAAAGTTTACAAAAAAATCTTTAAACTTCTTCTTACTTAAGAGTAATTTAATTTAAAACTAATTCAAAATCATATTAAATTTTCAGTATAAAGATTAGTCATATCAATAACCCGAATTAACCCAAAATCTAATCCCAAGTTACAAGTCCGAATTTAAAAGTATAAGGATGGTTGGGCTCGGGTTGATTAGTTAAGGTTGAGGATAGAGTTAAGGTCAGGTTTAACATTTTATAGGGTAAAGTGCAAGAAACCCCCCTATATTTTCAGTAAAAAACACAAAACCCCCCTGAACTAAGTAATACTCACTAAACTATTCAAAATTTGCAATTTAAGGACAAATTCTAAAATCATAGGCACCGGAGCTTATCAGAAATATTAAATTACCAAATTGGCCTTAAATCAACCGACACCGTTTGGAATGTTTATTGTCGTTTGTTAAGTAGCAATCTTAAAAACCAATGATATGGCGACAACCCAACACCTTATCAACAAGCTTCACTTACCCTTCACCGTTTTAGCGCCAAACAACTTCCATACAGACTCCAATCTAAGAAGTTGACTCTGAAACTCAATTTGGAAACCATTGCTCATTCCATACAGAATTACACTACTCACTTTAGCACCAAACACCAACACTTGTACCAGACCCACCTGTATTTAAGCCACACACGCACGCATATATATATATATATACATACGGTCGACTTTCCATCTGCACCTTCGATCGAGAATTTTTTTCCTGATTTTTCAAAATTGCCAATTTGTTTCCTCAATTGCCTCCAAAATTTCTCTCTTAGGCAATCTTAACCGCCGCCGGCGCAATATTGCCTCCCCTCGGCAATCTTCATCGCCGCTGGGGCGATATTGCCTCCAATCGACAATCTTCATCGCTGCCGGGGCGATATTGCCTCCCATCGGCAATCTTCATCGCTGCCGGCGCAATATCGCCTCCCTTCGGCAATCTCCATCGCTGCCGGCGCAATATCGCCTCCCTTCTGCAATCTTCATCGCTGTCGGCTCAATATCGCCTCCCCTCACCACCAGTCAACGGAGGGAACTTTTCATAACCCGCCGTCGCAATATATATATATATATATATATATATATATATATATAGTTGAACAGAAGCCATGGATCTTGTATACTGTTGATTTGTTAGTTCCAATAAAATAATGTTAAGCCATTTCAATGCATACTTGGTTTTGGAAAACAAAGAGAACCCAAATAAAAGGGATTTTACAAACTTAATTGTGGAGAAGGAGTAGTTCAGATTGAGGTTTGTTTGTTTGTTGCGCGAATGGTACAAGTGCGGTGATTGATTTATCAAATAACTTCAGGCACCAGTGGTGAAGAAGATGAACGTGACCGGCGTGACTTGTCTTGTTGTGGTAATTGAAAGATGGAGTACATGTAGTTGGAGTTGGAGGGTCTCTTTCTTCCATTGGAGTTTTGACGCACTCTATCTGATCATTTTTTTTTTTCTTCAAAAGGTAACTCTATCTGATCATTTTGTGTGTCGCTTCAGTTGGGGTTGCAAGGTGAGACCTCCACAGGGATGGCAATGGCGATTTGTGAATTTGGGGTTTCATTAATTATCCCATAAGTAATAAGGGTAGTACCGGCATTTTGAAATTATAACCTAATTTACATGATAATCAGATGACGGAACAGTGTCATTTGGGTTTTTTCTCAAAAATTAAAATAGTTTAGGGAGTTTTCTTTTAAAATAAAAGTTCAAGGGGGTTTTTTACAAGAGAGAGTAAAGATTAGGGGGGTTTTTTGCACTTTACCCCATTTTATATGATAAATTGGGTTCAAATTATACCTCAAACCCGTCCGAGATGCAGCCGTACCAAGCATGTAGATTCGTTTTGACATCTGAACACCTAGAGGTACCAAGCATGTAGATTCGTTTTTTTCATCAGCAGGAAATGTGAAATTGCTACAATTGTCTTCTTGGTATAAAATACGATCGCTAGATAGACGAACTTAATTTGTAGCTATCATTAATGATATACATCACGATCATGGAATAAGTCTTCATCCTTGTATACACTAGAGTAGAAAATTTTGGATTCAAAGCTCATTTCTTGGTCTGCTACACAAAACCCGTGTCGTGTTAATGATATGTACTAATGCAAAGCTCAAGGGATGGTTCTACTGTCACGATGTGAAAATTCTAATAAAATTCTCAATTTATACAAATTTAAATATATCAAAATACACTCAGGATCATAAAAAAATATCCTCTTTTATACAAAATTCTCCAAATAAATAAAATAAATCCTACAATGCCGACTCTTCCATCTAAGCCCGAAACTAACAATCCATGTTCATCTTCGGTACCTAAAACTAGAGGGTGGTGAGACAAAAAGTCTCGATAGGAAAAATCATAACAAAAATTTCATGAAAGTTTAATAAAATAGCTTCACAAAATATACATGTGAGTATATAAACAAAATACATATACATTTAATTAAAATATTTTATAAAAACCATTGAATCAAAATCACTCCAAGCCATTCAAGGTATAAAGAATCCTACACTTAAAAAAGAATTTCCTCACTCGATCACAAAGTCTCAAGCCTCCGGCCTCCTCTGCAACCCTCGGCGCTCTCTCTCTCTCTCTCCTCTGTCCTCAAACTCGGCCCTCTCTGTCTCTCTCTAATTTCACTCTAATTTTTCCTTCTGTTTCATTTTCTAAAGTCACAAAACTGATACTGATATTTAGGACTGCAAATGAACCTAGCCGAGCCGAGCCGAGCTTTGGCATGCTCGGGCTTGGCTAGCCACAATTAGGGAGGTGCTCGGGCTCGGGCGAGCCTAGAATAGCCAAGCTCGAGCTCGGCTCGTCAGAAAATCGATGAGCTCGGGCTCGGCTGCACACATATTGGGGAAGCTCTCAAAGGATATAAGAAGAAACTAAGAACCACTAAAAAAAATGGCAGTATTCATGTAGTCACATTCGCGTAGATAGATGGAAGTCATCAAAGTAGACCTTGAAAGTGAAATCAACCTTTAGAATAACAAGCGGCTTTGCTTCTTGAATTAGATACACAGCGCGCACACACACACACATATATAGCCCACGTATATATACACAGCGCACATATATACAAATATATATAATACAAGACATATTAGTGTATATATATAACACAAATATATCATATATATATATATATATTAATGTGTTGGGCTATGGATCTCTCTCGCCCTCTATACATATATATATATATATATGCACATACATACCTTCAGAATCGTTGCAGAGAAGGAAACTCGTTGCAGAGAAAGAAAGAAGAGAATAGAGAAGATGACAGGCTGTCGCTGGCCCGCTGCTTCATGAATGAAAGTATAATAGGGTTTGTGTGTTAACATGTGATTAAGTGGGTTGGGTCTTAAAAATGAATATGGGCCATTTATTTTGGGCTTTGTTATTTAAATTGCAGTAATGATTTTCAAATGGACTTATCATGTATAATTGTACTGGACTCACACATATGAGCTGGATCAAGAACTTATAAATGGCTAATAAACGAGCCTTCTATGAGCTTTGTTCACAAGCCTAAACGAGCTTTACATGAGCCTTGTTCACGAGCTCATACCAGTCGAGCCTAATGTTGTTTGGGCTCGGCTCGTTTACTAAACGAGCTTAAAAATTGGAATCGAGTTCGGCTCATTTGCTTAACGAACGAGCCCGAGCTGAACTTCAACGGTTCATGAACAGTTCGATTCATTTGCAACCCTACTGATATTTAAAGGCAAACCCACCGACAAACCCACGTGAACCCCGTTACTTTCCTTCCTTACATTGTTTTTCCAATTTTTTTTACTTCACAAACACTCCAATTAGACGACAACCCACGTGAAGGCAAAACAATTTTGCCCAAAAATCAAAAAGTTGCAAAAAAGCTTCCAAGTAGGTACCGCCCACCACCTTTCCAATCTTTTCTTTCTTTTTTTACTTCATTATATTGGCAGACCACCTTTCCTCCACCATCATGCACAATATATATATATATATATATATATATATATATATAAACATGTGACAAATATCAAAACCCATAAAAACTCTTTTGCATCATTCAAGGGAACCCGCGCCAATTACCATTTCCTTTGTTCCACTTCGGCTGCCTTCTTCAAATCTCTCTCTCTTTATTTCCATTACACAGCGCACACAAGATATATATATATACACACACAAAAACAATGCGACAATTATCAACCCAAATAAATATCTCCAATTGGGTAACTCTCTAATTAAAATAAAATACTCAACCCTAACTAAAAATAATGGAATGAATTAAATTAAAATGTTAAAAAAATCTTGGTTATCACACCTACAATGTATATCGAGTTATCAATTCCAACACAATGTAAATCAAGTTCTCAAATCCTTAAAAGTTACTTGCAGTTTGTGAGAAGCTATGAGCACTTGTTATATTATACATTTTATATATATATATATATATATATATATATATATATATATTATTATTATTATTATTATTCACTGGGACTCCTGTATGTGCAGTTGCTTGTATTTTTGCATCGACTAGGCTAAAATTGCCTTGACTTGGAACACTTTTAGCTTAATGTCCGTTTGACATGCGCTTTGTTTTAGGCATTTTGTTTTTGACTAAAACAGAAACAGTGTTTTTGCTATAAGAGTGTTTTGGAAAAAAAAAATCAAGAGTACGTTTGGGAACGATATTTTAGGTGCCTTGTTTTTGACCCATGTTGCGCTACTGTTATGGTTTTTGACATTAAAAATTGTCAAAATAAGAAAAAATAACTTTTTGATGTTTTGATTTTGACACTGTTCACCAAGTGTTTTGGCACTATGTAAAATAAAATAAGGTTGCACCAAACATACTTTTGTTGCTAAAATCTTGTAGGCAGCCAAAAATAAAAATAGAAGAAACAAAACACATGTCAAACGGGACCTTAATTATGTATGCAGGGTTTTTTGGACTCAAAAGAAGAATTTTATTACCTAAAAATCAAAACTAGAATCCCCAATTTGCATTTTCCTGGTTTCTCCGGTTTGGTTTGTTTACATTAAATATGCTGATCATATATCATTTGTGTTCACTATTTATGTCTGGTAAGACGCAGTAGATAAACCAGGTGCAAGCTTTAACAACAATGAAATGTTAGTTAATTATCAAAAAAATAAAAATAAAAATTGTTCGGCTTGTGAACATCAAAATTCAATGAAAATTAAAGAATTATTGTAATAATAGAGTACCGACACGGTCTATATGTCTTTTCATCATAAGTCGTCATTTTACGAGTTCATTTCCTCTTTATGAGTGTAGTATTTTTTCTACCCTATTTTTATCCTATCAATTCGTAAACTACCTCTATCCAATCTAAAAGTTCCAAACACATCATAATTCCTATTAAAATAAAATATCACTAACAATAATTAAAGTCTAATCAGCAAGCATGCACTGTGGATTCAAGACAATTAAAGTATAATCAGCAAGCATGCAATTCAGCTACCAAACAAATACTACGTAGCTAAGAAAAGAGGACTTCTATAAGCAATTAAGATTATTTTTGGATTCAATCTATTTTAATGGGCCCACATAGAAGAGTTGGACAGGATTTTCCCTATAATAATGAGATTTCATACTTGCCACCGAAAAAAACCAAAAGAAAAATTACTAAAAAAATCTAAAATAAATTGTTATTATTTGGGGCCATCTCTTAATGGCCCAAATATTGTCAATATATATATATATACAAATTATTAGGTACATTTTACAATTTGTGCACATAAAGATAGAATTTTAATTTAGTCAAAAATATACTAACAATCATACACCCAGTCAACATTAGTAGTGAGGACCTAAGTCATATAAAACGAAAGCAAAAATGAATTTGAGAGCGAGAGCGAGAGCGTAAGAGTGACAAAATTAAGTCATAAATAATGAGAATTTGAGTCAGAGTGCGTGTGAAGCGTAAGAGTAAAAATGCATTGTATAACTTAGGTGAAAACATGTAATCTTAACCTTAGATACAAGAGAAAAATATATGTTCTTGGTTTAAGTCATTGGGTCTTTGGCATGGTCGGCGAAAAAATATGTGCAACAGTGCAAAACCTCCACAAATTATTCCAAGTAGTAGGTGAAATGTTGTTGTCTAAGCAGCTGGACTAATTAACGATTTTAATTGGAAGGACGCTGCATTTTGGCATTTCTTTATATTCTCAATACCCTCTCTTGGTCTGAAGAAGTCTCCTTCTTGACAACCACTCTCTCTCACTCTCTCTCTCTCTCTCTCCCCGGTTACTCTGCAGAAGAAAAGAACATGGCTGAAGCTTTAGTGGGTGGAGCTTTTCTCTCGGCTTCCCTTCAAGTTCTGTTTGATCGGATGGCTCCTCATGATTTCAAAAACTTCTTCTCGAGACGAAAAGATGGTGATAGACTCCTAAAGAAGCTGAAGATGACTTTGCTGGCCCTTAGAGCAGTGCTCAATGACGCGGAGGACCAGCAGATTACCAACCAAGCAGTGAATGATTGGCTCGACGAGCTTCAAGATGCTATCTACCATGCCGATGATCTACTGGATGAGATCGCCACCAAAGCCTTGCAAAGCAAGCTGGATGCTGAGTCCAGAGGCAGCACAAATCAGGTACAAGCCATCATCTCTGCTTCTACTAGTTCATCTAATACTAGTGATTTAGAATTGAGGATGGAGGAGATCATTGATACGTTCGAATCTTTTCTAAAACAAAAGGATATCCTTGGTTTGAAAGAGGATGTTGGAAAGAAAAAGTGGCAAAGGCTGCCAACCACTTCTTTGGTAGATGAATCTGATGTCTATGGTAGGGATAATGAAAAAGAGAAGATAATTGAATTGTTGTTTTCTGGGAATGGTATTCAAGTGATCCCCATTGTAGGAATGGGCGGGGTGGGCAAGACAACCCTTGCTCAACTTGTATACAATGATGCTAGAGTCGGTCAGAATTTTGAAATGAAAGCATGGGTCTGTGTTTCTGATGAATTTGATGTTTCTTTGATTACAAAAAGAATTGTTGAGGCTGTGACGACATCAACCACTGAAACTAATGACCTTAACCAACTTCAAATCAAGTTGAAACAGAGCCTAGCACGGAAGAAATTTCTAATTGTTTTGGACGATGTTTGGAATGACAATTCAATTTACTGGGACCTCTTAAGAAGACCATTCAGAACTGGAGCACCGGAAAGTAGAATTATCGTAACCACACGGATTGATAAAGTTGCATTAGTCATGGGCACTGTTCCTAGTTATTGTCAATTGAAGCAATTGTCATCAGAAGATTGTTGGTCATTATTTGCAAAGCATGCATTTGAGAATGGAGATTATATGGCTTATCCAAACCTAGAGACAATTGGTAGAGATATTGTGAAGAAGTGTGGAGGCCTGCCTTTAGCGGTAAAATCGCTTGGAGGGCTCTTGCGGTCTAATTTGGAAACTGAGGAATGGAAAAATATATTAAAAAGCAATATATGGGATTTGGATCCTAACATTCCTCCAGCTTTAAGATTGAGCTATCATTATCTTCCTTCGTATTTAAAGCGATGCTTTGCATATTGTTCAATATTTCCCAAAGATTACAAATTTGAAAAGGAACGATTGATCCATTTATGGATAGCCATAGATCTTGTGCAGCAACCCAAAAATAACATATTATTGGAAGATGTAGGTAATTACTACTTTCGTGAACTATTGTCGAGATCTTTCTTTCAGAGATTAAGTCACGACTCCGATTCTAATTTTGTAATGCATGACCTAATCAATGATCTAGCTCAACAGATATCTAGAGAGTTTTGTTTTAGGTTGGAAGATGGCAAACCCATTAATCATATCTGTGAGAAAGTTCGCCATTTCTCATACGCTAAGGACAATTGTGACGGATTCCAGAAATTCAAGGCTGTTAACGAGGTTAAGTATTTACGGACCTTCATATCATTTAATTCAAAAGATCACTATAATTGTATCTTAGGCAATAAGGTACTACGTGATATGTTGCCAAGCCTGAGATGCTTAAGGGTTCTATCTTTGTCTCAGTATCGTATTTCTGAATTGCCTCAATCGATCGAAAGTTTGATACTTTTACGCTATTTGGATCTCTCTTATACAAATATCATACAATTGCCTGATGCAGTAACAACATTGTGCAATTTACAAACATTAGATTTGTCATATTGTTGGAAACTCACTAAGTTGCCTTCAAATATGGGAAAACTAATAAACTTGCGCCATCTTCATATCGAAGGAACTGAATTGACCGAAATGTCGACGCAAATGAGCAAACTGAAAGATCTTCAGCATTTAGCATATTTTGCAGTTGGCAAGAATAGTGGCTCAAGGATTAGTGGGTTGAAGGAACTCCATCAACTTCGGGGGCAACTCCGTATTTTAGGGCTGAAAAATGTGACATGTGGTCCGGATGCATCAGAGGCGAATCTAAAGGGAAAGGAGCACCTTGAAGTGTTAGAGCTTAAGTGGGATGGCGATACTGACGATTCACAAAAAGAATGTGATGTACTTGACAAGTTACAGCCTCATCCGGGAGTGAAGGATCTTAGCATCATTGGCTATGGGGGTACAAAATTTCCAGATTGGTTAAACAGAGCTTATTCATTTCATAATATGGTGTCCTTAAAACTAATAAGGTGTGGAAATTGCTGTTCTTTGTTGTCGATTGGTAAGCTACCCTCTCTGAAGCATCTAAGAATTGAAGGGATGAATGCAATAACTAAGGTGAGTCACGAGTTCTATGGGGATGCTGCTTCTTTTTCTTTGGTCAAACCATTTCAATCTCTAGAGATATTAAGTTTTGAGAAAATGGAAGAGTGGGAGGAATGGCATGCATTAGGGGCTGGAGAGTTCTCTCACCTTTTAGAATTCTCTTTGGTGGATTGTCCTAAGTTGATCGGTGAATTACCCATTCGCGTCCCTTCTTTAAGGAAAATAGAAATTTCTGGATGTCAAAGGCTTGTGCCAAATCAAGTGAGGCAGCTGCTGCTGCACGTACCTTATCTTGAGAAATTGACGATTTCGGATGTGTCGGACTCGGTGGAATTGCAGCCGGGATTTTGCAAATTAATAAAACTTGAAAGGTTGATTATAGAGAAATGGCCGAGCCTTGTGTCATTTCTGGATTTGGAGTTGCCGAACAATTGTCTTCAAGAGTTGCACATCTCTAAATGTTCATCTCTTCTTCAGTTGCCTTTAGCCATTGGTTGCCTACCTGCTACATTGAAAAGACTTTCCATCTCCTCTTGTAGTAGTTTAGAGTTTCACCTGATGGAGCAAAATCACCATACATGTTCCATTGACAATCTGAGCATAATCAACTGTGACCTTCTGAAGACTTTTTCATTGAGTTTCTTTCCAAAGCTTACAAAGCTCACGATCGCAGAGTGTATTAATTTTGAAACGCTTTCAATCCCAAACAGCGAAGAGCTTCAAAATCTTCAATCTCTTGAAATAATAGATTGCCCTAAAATTGTATCTTTTCCCCATGGAGATGGAGGATCATTGGCTGCTCCCAATCTGACCACGTTTTTGGTTTGGGATTGTAAGAATCTGAAGTCGCTTCCGCAACGAATGCACACCCTCCTCCCATCTCTTCATACGCTGTCGATTCAAAACTGTCCAGAAGTTGAATCATTTCCAGACGGTGGTTTGCCATCAAACTTAACTAATTTTGTGATTCGCAATTGCGAGAAACTGATGAAGGCCCGGAGGGGATGGAGTTTGCAAACACTCCCATCTTTTCAACATTTCAGAGTAGAAGGTGAATATAAAGAAGAAGTGTTGGAGTCATTTCCAGAGGAGTGGCTATTGCCCACCACTCTTACTTCTCTTACAATTGGTAATCTTCCAAATCTGATATCTCTGAACCACAAGGGCCTTCAACACCTCACCTCTCTTAAAGATCTGTACATCCACAGATGCCCTAAGCTCCAGTCCTTGCCAAAAGAGGGGTTGCCCAATTCCCTCACTGTACTTTCTATACACGGATGCCCGTTGCTGAAATCACGTTGTCAAAGGCAGAAAGGGGAAGATTGGCCCAAAATTTCTCAAATCCCCCGCATACGGTTCGATTTAAAGGAAGACGTCATAAACTTAGAGTGACAAACACTCATCCATGCTCGCATTGGATGGATTCCTCTGGTTTCTATTCATACAGGAAGAGCCATCCGTAATTCCTTCCACTCAGGTACTACACGTTCTTTCTTTCTTTCTTTTTTTTTTTAATGGACCCAACCTTAGGTCTCTATTTGATTCTCAGAAACAATGATGGATGGCAAAGGAAAAGGAAAAGGAAAGAAGAAAGCAGAAGTCGAATAAAAACAATCCACAGGTAGAAGTTTTGTATTTCTTTTACTGATTTCCCCACATATCCTTATTGCTCTGTATGCTAAATTGTTTTCTTATAAGATATAGAAGTCCTTTTTTTTTTTCTTTTTTTTTTTTTCACGCACACAAAATAAATTGGCTCTAATGGATAAGAATTTGACCCTCCTGCCTCGGAAAGTATCATAATTCTTTGAGGGAGGGTGTGTGAGTACCAACTAGGATAAAAAAAAAAAAAACACTCAGTTAACTTCTTCTTTCCATTTTGATTTCAAGTTTTCAGTGGATCTTCCAAAGAATTGCCAGCCTCCGATTTTCTCGTAACTTGCACTATTTCCAGGCAAATATTGATATTGGGTAAGTCACATTCTCAATACAATCATTGATCACAAACATCAATATCAAGATTTTTGAAATTCTCTCAATTTCTCTTGCATGAGCCACTCAGGCTGTTAGGCACACGTTAAAATTCTAGCTTGCATTAGTTATTCAAGATTTATTTGTTTTGATACAATTCGTGACACACATGTTATCTTCTGCCTGCAGAATGTTTTCGACAATAGACTTCCCGAGCTATGGGACAGAAATCAGTTCTGTTTTGGTTTATGAAGCAAGCAAATCCCTCAATGTTCTACTAGTTACAGTATACATTTTATGTCCTGAACTATTGAACCCATTCAGTACAATGATCAGGTATGCAAACATGTAGTAACAGCTTTTTGGAACATATGCAGAATTCTATTTGAATCATTTTTTGGTGAATATTCCACTACATATTGCCCAACTAGCCTATATTGGTTTCAGAATGCTAAAAGCTCAGCTTGATTACCACGAGGACACGGGTTTGAGACTTTGAGGCTAACTACTTTGCAAAAAAATGTGCCCAAAGGTTATGTTTGTCTCTAGTTCTGTCCTCCTATAACAGTGTTAAATAATCTCTCAACTGAGGAAATTTTTCTAGCATCTTTTCAAAACACATGCAGACTATAGTAGAATCATTTTCTTGTGAATATGCTTATACTTGGAGTTGCAGAGACAATACCACAATAGATTTGCTAAGATATGCTTCGTTTACTGGTCATGTATGCTTTATTGTTTGAAACTCTAGATTAAATTCATTCCTTACATGTTATGGATTTAGATTTCTAATTTAAATATCTATTGCTTACTCTTAGCAATCATGAGCTGCTTATAGTTTGGGGGCTACCTCCTCTGTCCTCGTAATCAATCGGTTTTGTGCTGTTAAGATTACAATTATTTTTGTGCATTTTGATAAAAATACTTGGTATGTTTTTATCTTTTAGTTTTCTGAATCTAAGATGTGCTTTCAAGGTTGGCTATGGGGATTTATTGCAGATTACGACGTCCCACTAATGGTGCTTGTGTGGAAATCTGTATCTTACATACCGGTAAACAACTTCCCAAGAGGGACACCAAGGTAGCTTTTCAGTTCAAATCCATGGTCTCATGGTGCAGATTACATCAGTGTAAAAAATGATTCTTTTTTTTTTTTTTTTTTTTTCCCGCCCTATTAAGCTCTATTGCTTCCTAATTTTTCTTGAAACTCGTGGTTGAGTATTTGAACAGGAAATGTTGATTGTTGTACTTTACCACTTTGATAACAGCGTCGCATCTCAACTTTGCACAACCAAAGGAGTTCTATCTGAAAAAACCAGTTCATATCATTACGATCTTCTTCTTTTGGGATTCTTGGTGAGCTATTATCCTAAAACTTCAATGTTTCTTTAATCTTTGCATTTCAATTGAAAGTCACACCAATTATTGAACCAGAGGTTTTTGTATTTGATTCTAAGAAAATTTAGTTTTTCAACCAGGTCATACGATACAGTCTCATTGGCTTCCTCCTTCCAATGGAGTTATTCCACAATCTACAATGCATGCACACAAAAACCTTACCCTGCCTAAAACATCAGGTAATATCTGATTATTCAAGTTAGTGAAAGTTACATCTCATGTGTTGTGTTATTGAAAGAGTCCTCTTTTCTGTAGATTGTAAATTAAAAAATTTTGAACTATAGGATTTTTTTTCTTCTAGTGTTGTCTCTTTACCTTTCCTATCCCATGAGCAAACACCCAAATTTCGATAGGAAGATGTCTTGCCCTCTTATTGATATATATGCCTGCCCTCTCCATAAAAGTAGTAATTGTCTCGGTATTTTTAGCACTGTTTCCGAGTTATGACATTGATACATGCTTTTTTTTGTACAGGACTATCTATAGATGTGAGTCGATTCTGGTGTTCAAAACTAATGCGAGGCACAAAAAGATGGCCTCCTCTGTGGGTTGCAGTAAGGCAATGGAAAGAGATTATCCCTTCATTATTGGACGCATTTCTTGAATGAGCGTACCATGTTGTTCTCTCATCTCATTTCTACCTCAGCAACGGCAATTTCATTCAGAGTTTACGTATAGTTTACAAGTTTATTTCAAGTTTTATCATCAAACTGAACTGTATATTATTTTAACCATAGCCAAGGGAGACTATTATTGTATTCAGAACTAGGATCGAAAAACTGTTTTCTTTATCTATTTTCATTTTTGGAGGGTTGGAGAGAGCATAGTAAGAATTGTAATCTTCGTAAGAGACTAGCTTTTCTTTTCATGTTTTCTTTTATCACTAAATTACACTGGTACACTAATTTGTGAGTTAATACTGAACTTTTGTGATCAACTCATAAAATTTTCAGGTGGGATCTTTGTAGTGCATTTCTAAGGTGTCGTATTTCCTAAAGGTTCTGGACAGTTTGATTGCTGAGCAAAACAAAAGCGACAACCTTGAAACTGTCCAGATGAGATTTGCCAATGTGCTCCTGAGTTGTGTAAGCCACATCCTGCAAGTTTTAATCTTACAAACTGCATCCACCAAAGAAAACCCTAAAATCTACTTGTTTGGGGAGAAAAAATAACTCAGAATGATGAAAATGGCAGTCCAAAGCCTGAGCTTTACAAATACAGCTCCGGGTCAATGGAGTCTATTCACCAAATTCATTCTGCGGGATATCCATCAAAAAGCCTCCTAGTCAAAACCCAACTTCAGCATATCCATTCAATGGATGTTTATGACCTTGATTCAATGTCTGGATATCAATTTTACAATTTGTCCACAACAATTATTTAATACATTTGTCGAGAGAAAAACAGGGGAAAAAAATGTCTCGAGTTGCACCTTAGTTCCTTCTACCCCCATTCCGCCTAGAGGCAACCACCGTCCACCCATCCTCCACTTGAGCCGCTTCATTAGGTCTCGGGTCATCAACCATCACATCTGTGCAATTCGAATTCAACTGAAGTTCCGGACCATCAACTGCCATTTCTGTTAAATCATCATTGTCCAAGCTCTGATCATCATCGCTATCATCATCATCATCACTGACAGTCTGACACATGGTAGGGAAGCAAAAGCAAAAGAAACAAACATAAAATAACAGATATAGTCCCTGAGATGTGGTAGGGAAGCAAAAAAAATAGAAACAATACACAATCATAAAACTATTTTGAGATCTAGCATACAAATGTTGGTTTCTTGCATCTAAGGAACACTTGGTGAGCAAATATTTTCAACCAGAAAAGTTTTTGTCCTCACAAAAAACTGTCATGATGCTATTTCAAGAATGGGTTTGAAATGCACCTAGATCATAAGAGTAATTGAGACAAAATATCCTCATCACAGAGATATCGATTGTATTTGCAAGGGTGTTGGACCACCTTGTTGTCCAGTTCAGGATGTGGGCACTGGGGCCTGAAGGAGGTGCAAAACCAGAATAGGACCCCAAGCATTCCTTCATTCTCTCGACATGCCGTGAGGAACCCTCTCCCACTGTGGACGCCAAAATAATGTGGTGAAGAGGGTGGTGTTGATTAAAGGTTTTCGCAACAAAATTGAGAATCAAAGAGAAATGGTTGGCATTCAGCTACAGTCTTCACTCTAGCCATTTCTCTTTGATTCTCGATTTTGTTGTGAATAACTCCAATTAACACAACCCTCTACACCACAGAGACCATTTCCTACTTCAAAGAAGGGAGCAGGAAACATGCTAAGATGGCAGCCTTCGCATGCCAAAGAGGGTGAACAGCACGTCCAAAATGGACCAGTAAAAGATTATAAATAATGGATTGATAAGAGACTAAAAGTCAGTCTCCTCAATAGCATCATCCACTCAGCACTAATCCAGGAACAATTCCCTTCACAGCCCCGACTATCAATAATCAAAATTGCCTCCAAGGCCATTGCATAAATGAAAAGGAGATATTGCCATGTCGCACCATGGTTCGCCCTTGCAACCACTACACATGGCATCTCTCCAGCCACATCAAATGATCTAAACATGGGCACATCTCTTGCGCACACATGGTGTATCACCATTCTAGCACACTACCTCAGTGCCATACAAGTCCCCCTGAGGTTAAAACAAGTGGTGCCTGAATCGCAAACCTCAACCTTGGGAGGCATGAGTGGGGTTTTCCTGCACTTTGAGTTCACATCCAACTAAGTTTATCAACATGACTGTGTGTTCTGACATCGTCCCTAGTTCAAGAATTCCCCCGTTGATCTCAGCCTTGATCTACTAGCCTTGCTCTACAACACCTCAAACCCACTAAACCGCCAACTTACACACGCAACCTGACACACCTATGCCCATTTGGGTGATGAAGATCAAGAAGCTCCTCAAGCCAGCCATGATGTGAGCTCTAAGTTGCACAGTAGTCCTTCATGAAATTATAGGGATTCTGTAACTTGGCCACCGACTAAGGGTTCACCAAAGCGTAACTCTGGTTTACGTTTACATCTTGATCAGACTTGGACAAAGATAGCACATGCGTTCCGAAATTATATTCGCCATGTGTTGCACTCGGCATTTCTCCACCTTGCCTATGTATATTCTCCCAGCCTCACTGGTTTCTGCACCTCCCAAGTGCTTGATATATCTGCAGCTATTACCCAGTATCCTTCCTTCTCTCTCTCTCAAGCTGCCTCGAATTTCACCTCGTTCATTCTCCTGAGACCTTCATTTTTATGTGTAAACTCTTCACCTTCAAAACCCAACTCAGACACCTAACTGTACCTTAACTTGCAAAACACCCTGCCTAGAAAAACCTAGTGCATTATCACCGCACGAAACTCTATAAAATGACATTACATCATCACCTCAATTTTGCCAACGGTTTCAGCCTTCCACCATGAATCATCCTCCTCAAGCACATACACTCATACACCATATATTATCTCAAAGAAGCATTATCGACCGTGAATCGTGCATTATCGGCTGCCTACACCACCGTCCTCCCAGCCAAAAAACTTGGCATCCTGATATTTTTGAAAGCTCGGGCATTACATAATAGCCTAGTTGGTAAAACATCTAGCCCTACAAATGGATGTGTCCGTGTTCGAAGGAAAAAAAAAAAAAAAAAAATTATGAATGATAGAAAATATATTATCTTCACAACATTTGCAGATAGGAATTTGCCACAACATCCCTTCCTAGTAGTTGACTCAATTATAAAGTTCTCATTGTTACATAATAGTAGTAAAACTTTAAGCAGCAAATATCACTAACTCTACATTCTACTAACAAAATTATTTGGAACAAAAAAAAGGACAGTTATATTTAAGTATCACATCTAAAAGGAAATTATATTCTATAGGGATCATCCGGCGAGAGTAATTCACATTTTATTATTGTTAAATATAAAATTCAATCTAATGTAAAATCAGATGTTGGAGATACCATACAACACTTCTCAATTTATTCTTATGGGAAAATTAGAATTTAGTACCAAACACAAACAAAATTGTTCTGAAGCGAACCCGATGAATAGTAACCAAATTCTAATCTTTTTATTTCCATTACACAGCACACACAAGATATATATATATACACACAAAAACAATGTGACAATTATCAATCCAAATAAATATCTCCAATTGGGTAACTCTCTAATTAAAATTAAATACTCAATCCTAACTAAAAATAATGGAATGAATTAAATTAAAATCTTAAAAAAATCTTGGTTATCACATCCACAATGTATATCGAGTTATCAATTCCAACACAATGTAAAACAAGTTCTCAAATCCTTAAAAGTTACTTGCAGTTTGTGAGAAGCTATGAGCCCTTGTTATATTATAAATTATATATATATATATATATATATATATATATATATATATATTCACTGGGACTCCTGTATGTACAGTTGCTCATATTTTTGCATAGACTAGGCTAAAATTGCCTTGACTTGGGATACTTTTAGCTTAATGTCCGTTTGGCATGCGCTTTATTTTAGGCGTTTTGTTTTTGGCTAAAACAGAAACAGTGTTTTTGTTGTAAGAGTGTTTTGGAAAAAAATCGGAAGCACGTTTGGGAACGATATTTTAGGCGTTTTGTTTTTGACTTATGTTGCGCTACTGTTATGGTTTTTGGCTATTAAAAATTGGCAAAATAAGAAAAAATAACTTTTTGGTGTTTTAGTTTTGATCACTGTTCACAAAGTGTTTTAGCACTATGTAAAATAAAACAAGGTCGTACAAACATGCTTTTGTTGCCAAAATCTTGTAGCAGCCCAAAAATAAAAATAGAAGAAACAAAACGCATGCCAAACAGGACCTTAATTATGTATGCAGGGTTCTTTGGACTCAAAGAAGAATTTTGTTACCTAGAAACCGAAATTAGAATCCCCAATTTGCATTTTCCTGGTTCCTCCGTTTTGGTTTGTTTACATTAAGTACGCTGATCATATATCATTTGCGTTCGCTATTTATGTCTGGTAAGGCTCAGTAGATACACCAGGTGCAAGTTTTAACAACAATGAAATGTTAGTAAATTATCAAAAAAATAAAAACAAAAATAAAAATTGTTCGGCTTGTGAACATCAAAATTCATGGCAAATTAAAGAATTGTTGTAATAATAGAGTACCGACACAGTCTATATGTCTTTTCATCTTAAATCATCATTTTACCAGTTCATTTCCTCTCTATGAGTAGTATTTTTTTCTACCCTATTTTTAATCCTATCAATTCATAAACTACGTCTACCCAATCGTAAAAGCTCCAAACATATCACAATTCCTATTAAAATAAAATATCACTAACAATAATTAAAGTCTAATCAGCAAGCATGCACCGTGGATTCAAGACAATTAAAGTATAATCAGAAAGCAAGCAATTCAGCTACCAAACAAATACTACGTAGTTAAGAAAAGAGGACTTCTATAAGCAATTAAGATTATTTTTGGATTCAATCTATTTTAATGGGCCCACATAGAAGAATTGGACAGGATTTTCCCTATAATAATGAGATTTTTCATACTTGCCACTGTACAAAACAAAAGAAAAATTACTAAAAAAATCTAAAATAAATTGTTATTATATGGGGCCATCTCTTAATGGCCAAAATATTGTCAAAATATATATATATATATATATATATATACAACTATATACAAATTGTTAGGTACATTTTACAATTTGTGCACATAAAGACAAAATTTTAATTTAGTCAAAAATATAATAACAATCATACACCAGTCGACATCAATAGTGATGACCTAAGTCATATAAAACAGAAGCAAAAACGAATTCAAGAGCGTAAAACAGAAGCAAAAACGAATTCAAGAGCGGGAGTATAAGAGTAACAAAATCAAATCATAAATAATGAAAATTTGAGTAAGAGTGCGTGCGGAGGAGCTTGAGAGAGCAAAAATGCTTTTGAAATGTAAAAGTGACACTCATGAAAAAGAACTGTGTGAGTTAGGTGAGGGCATGTAATCTTAACCTTAGATACAAGAGAGAGATATATGTCCTTGGTTTAAGTCATTGGGTCTTTGGCATGGTCCGTAAAAAAAAAGTGCAAGAATGCAAAACCTCCACAAATTATTCCAAGTAGTAGGTGAAATGTTGTTGTCTAAGCAGCTGGACTAATTAATGATTTTAATGAGAATTTGAGTCAGAGGCTGAATTTTGGCATTCCTTTATATTCTCAATACCCTCTCTTGGTCTGAAGAAGTCTCCTTCTTCACAACCACTCACTCTCTCTCTCTCTCTCTCTCTCTCTCTCTCTCTCTCTCTCTCTCCGGTTACTCTGCAGAAGAAAAGAACATGGCTGAAGCTTTAGTGGGTGGAGCTTTTCTCTCGGCATCCCTTCAAGTTCTGTTTGATCGGATGGCTCCTCATGATTTCAAAAACTTCTTTTCAAGACGAAAAGATGGTGATAGACTCCTAAAGAAGCTGAAGATGACTTTGCTGGCCCTTAGAGCAGTGCTCAATGACGCGGAGGACCAGCAGATTACCAACCAAGCAGTGAATGATTGGCTCGACGAGCTTCAAGATGCTATCTACCATGCCGATGATCTACTGGATGAGATCGCCACCAAAGCCTTGCAAAGCAAGCTGGATGCTGAGTCCAGAGGCAGCACAAATCAGGTACAAGCCATCATCTCTGCTTCTACTAGTTCATCTAATACTAGTGATTTAGAATTGAGGATGGAGGAGATCATTGATACGTTCGAATCTTTTCTAAAACAAAAGGATATCCTTGGTTTGAAAGAGGATGTTGGAAAGAAAAAGTGGCAAAGGCTGCCAACCACTTCTTTGGTAGATGAATCTGATGTCTATGGTAGGGATAATGAAAAAGAGAAGATAATTGAATTGTTGTTTTCTGGGAATGGTATTCAAGTGATCCCCATTGTAGGAATGGGCGGGGTGGGCAAGACAACCCTTGCTCAACTTGTATACAATGATGCTAGAGTCGGTCAGAATTTTGAAATGAAAGCATGGGTCTGTGTTTCTGATGAATTTGATGTTTCTTTGATTACAAAAAGAATTTTTGAGGCTGTGACGACATCAACCACTGAAACTAATGACCTTAACCAACTTCAAATCAAGTTGAAACAGAGCCTAGCACGGAAGAAATTTCTAATTGTTTTGGACGATGTTTGGAATGACAATTCAATTTACTGGGACCTCTTAAGAAGACCTTTCAGAACTGGAGCACCGGAAAGTAGAATTATCGTAACCACACGGATTGATAAAGTTGCATTAGTCATGGGTACTGTTCCTAGTTATTGTCAATTGAAGCAATTGTCATCAGAAGATTGTTGGTCATTATTTGCAAAGCATGCATTTGAGAATGGAGATTATATGGCTTATCCAAACCTAGAGACAATTGGTAGAGATATTGTGAAGAAGTGTGGAGGCCTGCCTTTAGCGGTAAAATCGCTTGGAGGGCTCTTGCGGTCTAATTTGGAAACTGAGGAATGGAAAAATATATTAAAAAGCAATATATGGGATTTGGATCCTAATATTCCTCCAGCTTTAAGATTGAGCTATCATTATCTTCCTTCGCATTTAAAGCGATGCTTTGCATATTGTTCAATATTTCCCAAAGATTACAAATTTGAAAAGGAACGATTGATCCATTTATGGATAGCCATAGATCTTGTGCAGCAACCCAAAAATAACATATTATTGGAAGATGTAGGTAATTGCTACTTTCGTGAACTATTGTCGAGGTCTTTCTTTCAGAGATTAAGTCACGACTCCGATTCTAATTTTGTAATGCATGACCTAATCAATGATCTAGCTCAGCAGATATCTAGAGAGTTTTGTTTTAGGTTGGAAGATGGCAAACCCCTTGATCATATCTGTGAGAAAGTTCGCCATTTCTCATACGCTAAGGACAATTGTGATGGATTTAGGAAATTTAAGGCTATTAATGAGGTCAAGTATTTACGGACCTTCATATCATTTAATAGAAAAGGTAATATCTTAGGCAATAAGGTGCTACGTGATATATTGCCAAGTCTGAGATGCTTAAGGGTTCTATCTTTGTCCCTGTATTGTATTTCTGAATTGCCTCAATCGATCGAAAATTTGATATTTTTACGCTATTTGGATCTCTCTTTTACGAATATTGTACAATTGCCTGATGCGATAACAACATTGTGCAATTTACAAACATTAGATTTGTCAAATTGTTGGAATCTCACTAAGTTGCCTTTGAATATGGGAAAACTAATAAACTTGCGCCATCTTTATATCGAAGGAACTAGATTGACTAAAATGTCGACGCAAATAAGCAAACTGAAAGATCTTCAGCATTTAGCATATTTTGCAGTTGGCAAGAATAGTGGCTCAAGGATTAGTGGGTTGAAGGAACTCCATCAACTTCGGGGGCAATTCCGTATTTTAGGGCTGAAAAATGTGACATGTGGTCCGGATGCATCAGAGGCGAATCTAAAGGGAAAGGAGCACCTTGAAGTGTTAGAGCTTAAGTGGGATGGCGATACTGACGATTCACAAAAAGAATGTGATGTACTTGACAAGTTACAGCCTCATCATGGAGTGAAGGATCTTGGCATCATTGGCTATGGGGGTACAAAATTTCCAGATTGGTTAAATAGAGCTTATTCATTTCATAATATGGTGTCCTTAAAACTAATAAGGTGTGGAAATTGCTGTTCTTTGTTGTCGATTGGTAAGCTACCCTCTCTGAAGCATCTAAGAATTGAAGGGATGAATGCAATAACTAAGGTGAGTCACGAGTTCTATGGGGATGCTGCTTCTTTTTCTTTGGTCAAACCATTTCAATCTCTAGAGAGATTAAGTTTTGAGAAAATGGAAGAGTGGGAGGAATGGCATGCATTAGGGGCTGGAGAGTTCTCTCACCTTTTAGAATTCTCTTTGGTGGATTGTCCTAAGTTGATCGGTGAATTACCCATTCGCGTCCCTTCTTTAAGGAAAATAGAAATTTCTGGATGTCAAAGGCTTGTGCCAAATCAAGTGAGGCAGCTGCTGCTGCACGTACCTTATCTTGAGAAATTGACGATTTCAGATATGTCGGACTCGGTGGAATTGCAGCCGGGGTTGTGCAAATTAATAAAACTTGAAAGGTTGACTATAGAGAAATGGCCGAGCCTTATGTCATTTCTCGATTTGGGGTTGCCGAACAATTGTCTTCAAGAGTTGGACATCTCTGAATGTTCATCTCTTCTTCAGTTGCCTTTAACCATTGGTTGCCTACCTACTACATTGAAAACACTTTCCATCTCCTCTTGTAGTAGTTTAGAGTTTCACCTGATGGAGCATAATCACCATAAATGTTCCATTGATAATCTGAGCATATTCAACTGTGACCTTCTGAAGACTTTTTCATTGAGTTTCTTTCCAAAGCTTACCTGGCTCAGGATCAGAAAGTGTGTTAATTTTGAAACGCTTTCAATCCCAAAGAGCGAAGAGCTTCAAAATCTTCAATCTCTTCATATAAGAGATTGCCCTAAAATTGTATCTTTTCCCCATGGAGATGGAGGATCATTGGCTGCTCCCAATCTGACCGTGTTTTGGGTTCGGAATTGTAAGAATCTGAAGTCGCTTCCACAACGAATGCGCACCCTCCTCCCATCTCTTCATACTCTGTGTATCGAAAACTGTCCAGAAGTTGAATCATTTCCAGACGGAGGTTTGCCATCAAACTTAACTAATTTTGTGATTCGCAATTGCGAGAAACTGATGAAGGCCCGGAGGGGATGGAGTTTGCAAACACTCCCATCTTTTCAATATTTCACCGTAGAAGGTGAATATAAAGAAGGGTTGGAGTCATTTCCAGAGGAGTGGCTATTGCCCACCACTCTTACTTCTCTTACAATTGGTAATCTTCCAAATCTGATATCTCTGAACCACAAGGGCCTTCAACACCTCACCTCTCTTAAAGATCTGTACATCCACAGATGCCCTAAGCTCCAGTCCTTGCCAAAAGAGGGGTTGCCCAATTCCCTCACTGTACTTTCTATACACGGATGCCCGTTGCTGAAATCACGTTGTCAAAGGCAGAAAGGGGAAGATTGGCCCAAAATTTCTCAAATCCCCCGCATACGGTTCGATTTAAAGGAAGACGTCATAAACTTAGAGTGACAAACACTCATCCATGCTCGCATTGGATGGATTCCTCTGGTTTCTATTCATACAGGAAGAGCCATCCGTAATTCCTTCCACTCGGGTACTACACGTTCTTTCTTTCTTTCTTCAACTTAGGTCTCTATTAATATTTCCACGCAATGTCAAATACCAGTGCTGTTTTTTATTTTAATTTTTTTTTTTCCCTTTCTCGCAGCTCCATCAAAGATTGACGATCAAATCACATTAATTTATGTCCCAACTTGCCCAGATGAAATTTTCAATTTTCAATCAGGTATGTGCTTCCAGTTTTGCCAGATATGATCTTAATTGATGTTAATTGCGGTTATTAGTTTTTGATGTTTGGTTTTGGGCTGCTCCATGTTTGGGCCTTCTTGTAGGCTTCAGTTGCCAATTTCCTTGGGTTGTATTGGGCCAAATGGCCCACCTTTTGTCATTACTTTTACTTATATATCATTTGCTTTAAATTCCAAAAAAAAAATCATGATGATTTCAACAAGTTTGTTATCGGCCACACCATCTACATTATATCAGGTTTCATTTAATGGACCCAACCTTAGGTCTCTATTTGATTCTCAGAAACAATGATGGATGGCAAAGGAAAAGGAAAAGGAAAGAAGAAAGCAGAAGTCGAATAAAAACAATCCACAGGTAGAAGTTTTGTATTTCTTTTACTGATTTCCCCACATATCCTTATTGCTCTGTATGCTAAATTGTTTTCTTATAAGATATAGAAGTCCTTTTTTTTTTTCTTTTTTTTTTTTTCACGCACACAAAATAAATTGGCTCTAATGGATAAGAATTTGACCCTCCTGCCTCGGAAAGTATCATAATTCTTTGAGGGAGGGTGTGTGAGTACCAACTAGGATAAAAAAAAAAAAACACTCAGTTAACTTCTTCTTTCCATTTTGATTTCAAGTTTTCAGTGGATCTTCCAAAGAATTGCCAGCCTCCGATTTTCTCGTAACTTGCACTATTTCCAGGCAAATATTGATATTGGGTAAGTCACATTCTCAATACAATCATTGATCACAAACATCAATATCAAGATTTTTGAAATTCTCTCAATTTCTCTTGCATGAGCCACTCAGGCTGTTAGGCACACGTTAAAATTCTAGCTTGCATTAGTTATTCAAGATTTATTTGTTTTGATACAATTCGTGACACACATGTTATCTTCTGCCTGCAGAATGTTTTCGACAATAGACTTCCCGAGCTATGGGACAGAAATCAGTTCTGTTTTGGTTTATGAAGCAAGCAAATCCCTCAATGTTCTACTAGTTACAGTATACATTTTATGTCCTGAACTATTGAACCCATTCAGTACAATGATCAGGTATGCAAACATGTAGTAACAGCTTTTTGGAACATATGCAGAATTCTATTTGAATCATTTTTTGGTGAATATTCCACTACATATTGCCCAACTAGCCTATATTGGTTTCAGAATGCTAAAAGCTCAGCTTGATTACCACGAGGACACGGGTTTGAGACTTTGAGGCTAACTACTTTGCAAAAAAATGTGCCCAAAGGTTATGTTTGTCTCTAGTTCTGTCCTCCTATAACAGTGTTAAATAATCTCTCAACTGAGGAAATTTTTCTAGCATCTTTTCAAAACACATGCAGACTATAGTAGAATCATTTTCTTGTGAATATGCTTATACTTGGAGTTGCAGAGACAATACCACAATAGATTTGCTAAGATATGCTTCGTTTACTGGTCATGTATGCTTTATTGTTTGAAACTCTAGATTAAATTCATTCCTTACATGTTATGGATTTAGATTTCTAATTTAAATATCTATTGCTTACTCTTAGCAATCATGAGCTGCTTATAGTTTGGGGGCTACCTCCTCTGTCCTCGTAATCAATCGGTTTTGTGCTGTTAAGATTACAATTATTTTTGTGCATTTTGATAAAAATACTTGGTATGTTTTTATCTTTTAGTTTTCTGAATCTAAGATGTGCTTTCAAGGTTGGCTATGGGGATTTATTGCAGATTACGACGTCCCACTAATGGTGCTTGTGTGGAAATCTGTATCTTACATACCGGTAAACAACTTCCCAAGAGGGACACCAAGGTAGCTTTTCAGTTCAAATCCATGGTCTCATGGTGCAGATTACATCAGTGTAAAAAATGATTCTTTTTTTTTTTTTTTTTTTTTCCCGCCCTATTAAGCTCTATTGCTTCCTAATTTTTCTTGAAACTCGTGGTTGAGTATTTGAACAGGAAATGTTGATTGTTGTACTTTACCACTTTGATAACAGCGTCGCATCTCAACTTTGCACAACCAAAGGAGTTCTATCTGAAAAAACCAGTTCATATCATTACGATCTTCTTCTTTTGGGATTCTTGGTGAGCTATTATCCTAAAACTTCAATGTTTCTTTAATCTTTGCATTTCAATTGAAAGTCACACCAATTATTGAACCAGAGGTTTTTGTATTTGATTCTAAGAAAATTTAGTTTTTCAACCAGGTCATACGATACAGTCTCATTGGCTTCCTCCTTCCAATGGAGTTATTCCACAATCTACAATGCATGCACACAAAAACCTTACCCTGCCTAAAACATCAGGTAATATCTGATTATTCAAGTTAGTGAAAGTTACATCTCATGTGTTGTGTTATTGAAAGAGTCCTCTTTTCTGTAGATTGTAAATTAAAAAATTTTGAACTATAGGATTTTTTTTCTTCTAGTGTTGTCTCTTTACCTTTCCTATCCCATGAGCAAACACCCAAATTTCGATAGGAAGATGTCTTGCCCTCTTATTGATATATATGCCTGCCCTCTCCATAAAAGTAGTAATTGTCTCGGTATTTTTAGCACTGTTTCCGAGTTATGACATTGATACATGCTTTTTTTTGTACAGGACTATCTATAGATGTGAGTCGATTCTGGTGTTCAAAACTAATGCGAGGCACAAAAAGATGGCCTCCTCTGTGGGTTGCAGTAAGGCAATGGAAAGAGATTATCCCTTCATTATTGGACGCATTTCTTGAATGAGCGTACCATGTTGTTCTCTCATCTCATTTCTACCTCAGCAACGGCAATTTCATTCAGAGTTTACGTATAGTTTACAAGTTTATTTCAAGTTTTATCATCAAACTGAACTGTATATTATTTTAACCATAGCCAAGGGAGACTATTATTGTATTCAGAACTAGGATCGAAAAACTGTTTTCTTTATCTATTTTCATTTTTGGAGGGTTGGAGAGAGCATAGTAAGAATTGTAATCTTCGTAAGAGACTAGCTTTTCTTTTCATGTTTTCTTTTATCACTAAATTACACTGGTACACTAATTTGTGAGTTAATACTGAACTTTTGTGATCAACTCATAAAATTTTCAGGTGGGATCTTTGTAGTGCATTTCTAAGGTGTCGTATTTCCTAAAGGTTCTGGACAGTTTGATTGCTGAGCAAAACAAAAGCGACAACCTTGAAACTGTCCAGATGAGATTTGCCAATGTGCTCCTGAGTTGTGTAAGCCACATCCTGCAAGTTTTAATCTTACAAACTGCATCCACCAAAGAAAACCCTAAAATCTACTTGTTTGGGGAGAAAAAATAACTCAGAATGATGAAAATGGCAGTCCAAAGCCTGAGCTTTACAAATACAGCTCCGGGTCAATGGAGTCTATTCACCAAATTCATTCTGCGGGATATCCATCAAAAAGCCTCCTAGTCAAAACCCAACTTCAGCATATCCATTCAATGGATGTTTATGACCTTGATTCAATGTCTGGATATCAATTTTACAATTTGTCCACAACAATTATTTAATACATTTGTCGAGAGAAAAACAGGGGAAAAAAATGTCTCGAGTTGCACCTTAGTTCCTTCTACCCCCATTCCGCCTAGAGGCAACCACCGTCCACCCATCCTCCACTTGAGCCGCTTCATTAGGTCTCGGGTCATCAACCATCACATCTGTGCAATTCGAATTCAACTGAAGTTCCGGACCATCAACTGCCATTTCTGTTAAATCATCATTGTCCAAGCTCTGATCATCATCGCTATCATCATCATCATCACTGACAGTCTGACACATGGTAGGGAAGCAAAAGCAAAAGAAACAAACATAAAATAACAGATATAGTCCCTGAGATGTGGTAGGGAAGCAAAAAAAATAGAAACAATACACAATCATAAAACTATTTTGAGATCTAGCATACAAATGTTGGTTTCTTGCATCTAAGGAACACTTGGTGAGCAAATATTTTCAACCAGAAAAGTTTTTGTCCTCACAAAAAACTGTCATGATGCTATTTCAAGAATGGGTTTGAAATGCACCTAGATCATAAGAGTAATTGAGACAAAATATCCTCATCACAGAGATATCGATTGTATTTGCAAGGGTGTTGGACCACCTTGTTGTCCAGTTCAGGATGTGGGCACTGGGGCCTGAAGGAGGTGCAAAACCAGAATAGGACCCCAAGCATTCCTTCATTCTCTCGACATGCCGTGAGGAACCCTCTCCCACTGTGGACGCCAAAATAATGTGGTGAAGAGGGTGGTGTTGATTAAAGGTTTTCGCAACAAAATTGAGAATCAAAGAGAAATGGTTGGCATTCAGCTACAGTCTTCACTCTAGCCATTTCTCTTTGATTCTCGATTTTGTTGTGAATAACTCCAATTAACACAACCCTCTACACCACAGAGACCATTTCCTACTTCAAAGAAGGGAGCAGGAAACATGCTAAGATGGCAGCCTTCGCATGCCAAAGAGGGTGAACAGCACGTCCAAAATGGACCAGTAAAAGATTATAAATAATGGATTGATAAGAGACTAAAAGTCAGTCTCCTCAATAGCATCATCCACTCAGCACTAATCCAGGAACAATTCCCTTCACAGCCCCGACTATCAATAATCAAAATTGCCTCCAAGGCCATTGCATAAATGAAAAGGAGATATTGCCATGTCGCACCATGGTTCGCCCTTGCAACCACTACACATGGCATCTCTCCAGCCACATCAAATGATCTAAACATGGGCACATCTCTTGCGCACACATGGTGTATCACCATTCTAGCACACTACCTCAGTGCCATACAAGTCCCCCTGAGGTTAAAACAAGTGGTGCCTGAATCGCAAACCTCAACCTTGGGAGGCATGAGTGGGGTTTTCCTGCACTTTGAGTTCACATCCAACTAAGTTTATCAACATGACTGTGTGTTCTGACATCGTCCCTAGTTCAAGAATTCCCCCGTTGATCTCAGCCTTGATCTACTAGCCTTGCTCTACAACACCTCAAACCCACTAAACCGCCAACTTACACACGCAACCTGACACACCTATGCCCATTTGGGTGATGAAGATCAAGAAGCTCCTCAAGCCAGCCATGATGTGAGCTCTAAGTTGCACAGTAGTCCTTCATGAAATTATAGGGATTCTGTAACTTGGCCACCGACTAAGGGTTCACCAAAGCGTAACTCTGGTTTACGTTTACATCTTGATCAGACTTGGACAAAGATAGCACATGCGTTCCGAAATTATATTCGCCATGTGTTGCACTCGGCATTTCTCCACCTTGCCTATGTATATTCTCCCAGCCTCACTGGTTTCTGCACCTCCCAAGTGCTTGATATATCTGCAGCTATTACCCAGTATCCTTCCTTCTCTCTCTCTCAAGCTGCCTCGAATTTCACCTCGTTCATTCTCCTGAGACCTTCATTTTTATGTGTAAACTCTTCACCTTCAAAACCCAACTCAGACACCTAACTGTACCTTAACTTGCAAAACACCCTGCCTAGAAAAACCTAGTGCATTATCACCGCACGAAACTCTATAAAATGACATTACATCATCACCTCAATTTTGCCAACGGTTTCAGCCTTCCACCATGAATCATCCTCCTCAAGCACATACACTCATACACCATATATTATCTCAAAGAAGCATTATCGACCGTGAATCGTGCATTATCGGCTGCCTACACCACCGTCCTCCCAGCCAAAAAACTTGGCATCCTGATATTTTTGAAAGCTCGGGCATTACATAATAGCCTAGTTGGTAAAACATCTAGCCCTACAAATGGATGTGTCCGTGTTCGAAGGAAAAAAAAAAAAAAAAAAATTATGAATGATAGAAAATATATTATCTTCACAACATTTGCAGATAGGAATTTGCCACAACATCCCTTCCTAGTAGTTGACTCAATTATAAAGTTCTCATTGTTACATAATAGTAGTAAAACTTTAAGCAGCAAATATCACTAACTCTACATTCTACTAACAAAATTATTTGGAACAAAAAAAAGGACAGTTATATTTAAGTATCACAGCTAAAAGGAAATTATATTCTATAGGGATCATCCGGCGAGAGTAATTCACATTTTATTATTGTTAAATATAAAATTCAATCTAATGTAAAATCAGATGTTGGAGATACCATACAACACTTCTCAATTTATTCTTATGGGAAAATTAGAATTTAGTACCAAACACAAACAAAATTGTTCTGAAGCGAACCCGATGAATAGTAACCAAATTCTAATCTCTTTATTTCCATTACACAGCACACACAAGATATATATATATACACACAAAAACAATGTGACAATTATCAATCCAAATAAATATCTCCAATTGGGTAACTCTCTAATTAAAATTAAATACTCAATCCTAACTAAAAATAATGGAATGAATTAAATTAAAATCTTAAAAAAATCTTGGTTATCACATCCACAATGTATATCGAGTTATCAATTCCAACACAATGTAAAACAAGTTCTCAAATCCTTAAAAGTTACTTGCAGTTTGTGAGAAGCTATGAGCCCTTGTTATATTATAAATTTTATATATATATATATATATATATATATATATATATATATATATATATTCACTGGGACTCCTGTATGTACAGTTGCTCATATTTTTGCATAGACTAGGCTAAAATTGCCTTGACTTGGGATACTTTTAGCTTAATGTCCGTTTGGCATGCGCTTTATTTTAGGCGTTTTGTTTTTGGCTAAAACAGAAACAGTGTTTTTGTTGTAAGAGTGTTTTGGAAAAAAATCGGAAGCACGTTTGGGAACGATATTTTAGGCGTTTTGTTTTTGACTTATGTTGCGCTACTGTTATGGTTTTTGGCTATTAAAAATTGGCAAAATAAGAAAAAATAACTTTTTGGTGTTTTAGTTTTGATCACTGTTCACAAAGTGTTTTAGCACTATGTAAAATAAAACAAGGTCGTACAAACATGCTTTTGTTGCCAAAATCTTGTAGCAGCCCAAAAATAAAAATAGAAGAAACAAAACGCATGCCAAACAGGACCTTAATTATGTATGCAGGGTTCTTTGGACTCAAAGAAGAATTTTGTTACCTAGAAACCGAAATTAGAATCCCCAATTTGCATTTTCCTGGTTCCTCCGTTTTGGTTTGTTTACATTAAGTACGCTGATCATATATCATTTGCGTTCGCTATTTATGTCTGGTAAGGCTCAGTAGATACACCAGGTGCAAGTTTTAACAACAATGAAATGTTAGTAAATTATCAAAAAAATAAAAACAAAAATAAAAATTGTTCGGCTTGTGAACATCAAAATTCATGGCAAATTAAAGAATTGTTGTAATAATAGAGTACCGACACAGTCTATATGTCTTTTCATCTTAAATCATCATTTTACCAGTTCATTTCCTCTCTATGAGTAGTATTTTTTTCTACCCTATTTTTAATCCTATCAATTCATAAACTACGTCTACCCAATCGTAAAAGCTCCAAACATATCACAATTCCTATTAAAATAAAATATCACTAACAATAATTAAAGTCTAATCAGCAAGCATGCACCGTGGATTCAAGACAATTAAAGTATAATCAGAAAGCAAGCAATTCAGCTACCAAACAAATACTACGTAGTTAAGAAAAGAGGACTTCTATAAGCAATTAAGATTATTTTTGGATTCAATCTATTTTAATGGGCCCACATAGAAGAATTGGACAGGATTTTCCCTATAATAATGAGATTTTTCATACTTGCCACTGTACAAAACAAAAGAAAAATTACTAAAAAAATCTAAAATAAATTGTTATTATATGGGGCCATCTCTTAATGGCCAAAATATTGTCAAAATATATATATATATATATATATATATACAACTATATACAAATTGTTAGGTACATTTTACAATTTGTGCACATAAAGACAAAATTTTAATTTAGTCAAAAATATAATAACAATCATACACCAGTCGACATCAATAGTGATGACCTAAGTCATATAAAACAGAAGCAAAAACGAATTCAAGAGCGTAAAACAGAAGCAAAAACGAATTCAAGAGCGGGAGTATAAGAGTAACAAAATCAAATCATAAATAATGAAAATTTGAGTAAGAGTGCGTGCGGAGGAGCTTGAGAGAGCAAAAATGCTTTTGAAATGTAAAAGTGACACTCATGAAAAAGAACTGTGTGAGTTAGGTGAGGGCATGTAATCTTAACCTTAGATACAAGAGAGAGATATATGTCCTTGGTTTAAGTCATTGGGTCTTTGGCATGGTCCGTAAAAAAAAAGTGCAAGAATGCAAAACCTCCACAAATTATTCCAAGTAGTAGGTGAAATGTTGTTGTCTAAGCAGCTGGACTAATTAATGATTTTAATGAGAATTTGAGTCAGAGGCTGAATTTTGGCATTCCTTTATATTCTCAATACCCTCTCTTGGTCTGAAGAAGTCTCCTTCTTCACAACCACTCACTCTCTCTCTCTCTCTCTCTCTCTCTCTCTCTCTCTCTCTCTCTCCGGTTACTCTGCAGAAGAAAAGAACATGGCTGAAGCTTTAGTGGGTGGAGCTTTTCTCTCGGCATCCCTTCAAGTTCTGTTTGATCGGATGGCTCCTCATGATTTCAAAAACTTCTTTTCAAGACGAAAAGATGGTGATAGACTCCTAAAGAAGCTGAAGATGACTTTGCTGGCCCTTAGAGCAGTGCTCAATGACGCGGAGGACCAGCAGATTACCAACCAAGCAGTGAATGATTGGCTCGACGAGCTTCAAGATGCTATCTACCATGCCGATGATCTACTGGATGAGATCGCCACC